TGCAAGGACTACTTGCTACCTACGGCCTACATGTATGTAATATCTTAGAGAGTCTGCCTACGAGGCAAATAAAACTTAATCATTCTGGAGAGTTTATCATAGCATAAATAAAACGGTTGATTTCACTAAAGTACACACGGAGGTGCATTCTGATGAGCAAGCCGTGTATTTCTTTCCCCGCGTCTTCTCCGCGGGCTAAGTCTTTATCTCTATCCTTAATAACAACGATGATCTTAAGGCCCCAACGACACATGTTATTATTATATATATGCCATTGGTAGATGTGACGACAGTCATCCGTTTAACCCATTCATCCCTCACTCTGCAGCCAACGGATCCAGCACGTCCTAATAAACCCATGCGGCAGCATGGGTCGTGGTTAGAACGCAGTCTTGCCTTGCCAAGCAGCAAGAAACGCTTCTAGAACCCAATGTATGCCGAGCCAGACGAATAGGGGTAGACCGTCGCCGCACTCGATGTTCGTCCGGATCGTCGCATTCCTCCCCACCATCCGCATCCACGCCGGATAACTCATGCGCGCTCCCGTTCTCTCGGCGCGTCGATCCCCCCTTTTGTACGCCTAGAACGCCGGTATCCGATGCTGATGGGGTATTTTTATGATGCTTGCGGCCTTGACGGTAGCCGTTATCACGTGGAACGCCCGTTTCAAGAGCTGTCTTCTTCCAAGAAGAACTGCAGATCCTATTAGCGACAAGTCTCGACGAAGCGATAGGGGTACATTTAACTTACGTAGTTTCCAGCCAATTTCTGTTCCTGGTCCAGCTGACTGTTGAGCTTGTTGATACGAGGCCTGTAATTTGTCGGATCACGACGGAAGGTGACATCCAGGTTCTTCAAGAAAGCGTTGCATCCAGTGAGCAGCGACTCGGGCGTGTTAGCATGGGCATCGATACCTGGCTTTCCGTCAAACACAATGACACGATCCGCTAAGTATGTAGCCATGATGAAATCGTGCTCTACGATGAAAGCCGTCTTCTTAGCGTGCATAATGAAGCGCTTAATCACGCGTGCTGCAATGATACGCTGCTCAGAGTCCAAGTAGGCCGACGGCTCGTCAATCAAGTAGATATCGGCTGGCAATCCGAGGGCCATTACGATGGCTACACGCTGAAGTTCACCACCAGACAGATTCTTGACTTCCTGGTCGATAAAATCATCTAGCTTGAGAGGCTTGACAACATCAGTCTGGAACTGCGGGGAGAGGAACGCCTGCTTGATTCGCTTGAAAAATAGCTGTCGGACGGTACCCTCAAATTTAGGAGTAATAGTTTGGGGCTTCATGCTGATTCTCATCTCAGGGACCTTCTTGGCATTGTCGGGCTTAAGAGCACCGGCCAGAAGCCTACAGAAGGTCGTTTTTCCAGTACCGTTTTCACCCATCATGACAATAATCTCCGAATCAGTAAAGTCACCGCCATCGATGCTGAGCTTGAAGTTGCCAAGAGTCTTCTCCATTTTGGGGTAGCTGAAAGCTCGAGCCTTGTCGGCTTGGAAGTCATCAGTACCCTCTGAGATACGGAACGTCAAGGATTCTTCTCGGAATCGCAAGTTCTCGGTAGGAATATGACCGTCGAGGAAAATGTTGATGCCTTCACGGACCGAGTGAGGAAGAGTAACCACACCATATACAGCGGGTTTACCATAAAGAACACAGATATAGTCGGAAAGGTAGTCAAGGACTGACAAATCGTGTTCGACAACAATGACATAGTTATCCGGGCCGAGCAAGGAACGGATCATTCGGGCTGCAGAAAGACGCTGCTTGACATCGAGGTAAGAAGATGGCTCGTCAAACATGTATACATCAGCCTTCTGGACACAGACTGTTCCAATAGCGAATCGTTGCAATTCTCCACCAGAAAGGTGGTTGACATCGCGGTCCAGGATATGACGAAGCTCCAAGGTGTCAAGGACCTGGTCCATATTGCCCATTGCGGATCTGTGTTCGAGGAGGAACTTGACACTCTTGTCGGGTGTCTTGACAGCTCGCGGGAGCTGGTCAACGTACTGGGGTTTGACAACAGCCTTTAGGTCATCTTCAAGAACCTTGGTGAAATAGTCTGGGTTACGTGTTAGTTAAAATTCAAAGATAAACACGCTTGTTGGTGAAACGGCAAATGCCGACTGACTTTGCAACTCGGATCCTCTGAAGTACTTGATGACATCTTCCCAGTCCGGGGGGTTATCATATCTCCCTAGGTTAGGCTTAAGCTTGCCACTGAGAATTTTCAATGCTGTGCTCTTTCCGATACCGTTGGTTCCTACGAGACCTAGGACCTGGCCAGGTCGCGGCGTCGGTAATCGATGGAGCTTGAAGCTGTTCGCGGAGTATCGATGGGTAACCTGGGTTTCGAGGTTGGTGGGCAGGTTGATGATGGTGATGGCATCGAAGGGGCATTTCTTGGGGCAGATACCACATCCAATGCAAAGACTTTCGGAGATGAAGGCTATCTTCGAGTCCGGGCTAACTTCGATGCACAGCTTTCCACTACGAACGACCTGCCAAGTATACAATAAGCTACCAATTCACTGATAATTATAAATTCGGATATTTTATTTCCAGAGGCTAGAAAAGAGAACGAAAGAAGGACAAGAAAATGGAATACGTACTGGGCAGGACCTCTTGCATTCCTGTCGACATTTCTATAGAAAGTAAGCATCATCATAGGACGTTACTGCTCGGGTCTCAAGTCGATTTACCTTGGGCTTACACTGCGAGACATTATATATTAGCTTAATTCCAACGCTATCAAGTGGAAGGGTAAGTATCATCGAACGTACCTTGTCATCGTTCACGATGGCGATACTAAGACCAAATAGTTAGCATATCGTGGTACAAAGCAGGGAACGAATTTCCATCAAGTCGCATGGTTACGTACCGGGTAAGCTTGGTAGCCATGGTGGGGGAATATGACGACCGGCTCCTTGCAAAGGGATATGAGGTAGAAGGAAGAATATATCGAATGCCGCCTAATATCGTGAGGTCGACGATGCAAGGAACAAAGGGGCGACGTCAAATTTGTATGGTGCGACAAAAGGTTGCGACAAAATGCGCCTGGTAGAAAGTTACGAGTTATGGATTTCAAAGTCGGTGGGGTATCGAAAATTACACATAGGGTCGGCAATGAGGGGTGATTTGTGGCTGAATCATCAAAGGTGAGCCACTACGAACGATGGTAAACCTGAAAATTATGAACTGGGGAATTCTGATTGGATCGTTTGTCTACTTGCTTATGCTGTTTAACTGCGTAGTGGAAAAACTGGATACTGACTTTGTACCTAAGGTACCTACCGCATAACTACCTAGTGCTTCTCGCTTAATAAGTTTCAAAGAAAGTTTAACTAAGCTAAATTCTTTCTCTAAGCTTAAAAGGTACCAAATTATCACAAGATTAAGGCACTAAAGTTCATATTCAAAAAAGATACAAGACAAGAAAGCAGCAAAAAAAAAATTTTTATCCCAACCGTAAAAGGTTAAATGCAGAATAGTCTAAGATGCGGTGAGTGCGGATCGAACGCACGGCCTTCAGATTTTAGAATGAAGTGGACTTCAGTCTGACGCTCTCCCAGCTGAGCTATCCCCGCCAATGATTGGATGAGTTTTTGCCTAATTTCTACCTCTATATACCTATTATTCCTGCAGGTCTCATTTGTAGTACGATAGGGCTAGTAGCTGCAACATTCGGAATACAGATGTTGTTAAAGTTTGCTACACGAGTACCTCTTGGGGAAACTATTTTTCCCGTCAGGTAGTTACGCGTTTAACACCTTGTTCCTACAACCAATTAGATCATTAAGCATTGTATTAAAATACCCTCGTTTCTACTCACTTTATATTTATTGTGTGTGATAATATGCATAATGTGGTGATAATATTGCCGGGCGGTATCATGGGGTTAACCAATGAAAAGATGTGAATCTTCAGAGATTGGAACTTTTATATTTGTAGCACTTACCAAACGTGCGCAATGGGCATCGGTCTTTGCTCAACCGATAATGCTTATTCCTAGGTACTTAATCCCAAGTTTTAATAGCAGTTCTTTTACCCTGGAAGGGATGGCATTGTCCGGTTCATTGGTTGGTAAAATAACAAGAACAACCAGAACAAGTATTGCCGTTTTCAAGATATGTCTCTAAGAAAATATATTAGTTATCACAGGCACTAGACGACTTATATAAAGTCGGGGAAATTATTCATAACAGGATCAGCTCGAAGACTTAGAAAAATTAAAATCATAGATAAATGCATAGGTTGTTGCCCTTGTGAAGACCTTGGTGAAGAAAATAAGGACATATTAATCGGGGGGTTTTCTCTTTATTACCTACTGAATAGGCAGGCGTAATTGCTGTGTCACTTTTGCGGCCACTAACTCTTAACCGCACTTCATTATTGGCAATGAGGAAGTACTGCAATTCCACTCTAGAGTTACTTTAGTAGATTAAAGTTAGAGGGTTAGAATGACCGAAATCCTTTCTTAAGCCCACGTCCGCTGTAGGTGTTTCAATCTATCATGAGACAAAGTGTTCGGTATGATAGTAGGACTTACGAAACATTATTGCACTTTCCATGGTTAGACAAGCTTTTCATTATGTAGACTACCTAATATGCTAACGGGATACGAGAAAGCAGGTATATCTACCTAGGTAGGTAATAAGTAGCTAAATCTAAAAATGATAGTTTAAGGAACTGTAAGGCTTTCTATAGAAAATGCATCTAACTTATCGACTCCGCTACTATGTTAGATTAGATGTGCTTCGACTCGAACCTTTTTTATAGACTTCAAAAACAAACTGATTATTAAGCGGGGATAGCTCAGTTGGGAGAGCGTCAGACTGAAGTCCAACTTCATTCTAACATCTGAAGGTCGTGCGTTCGATCCGCACTCACCGCATCATCCTTTCTTTTTCATCTTCATCTTTGAAGATGATAATGAATGACTATGAGGTATCTTTTTTGCATTTGATAGTAGACTCGTCATTCATTCAGCCGAGAATTGTGCTAATATCCTATCCAGTTGGTCATGGCGCTTAGAGGCATGGTCAAATGTAGGGTATTTCGCCGCATCACCAGCGGCAAATGCTTCATAAAGGGCACCAACTATTCTTGCGGATATATCCAGCTCTTCTCTTCCTTGCCAATTCCACTCTACGTTCTCTACTCCATCCGTATCAAAATCGTGAACTTCAATAGTTAGCGGTTGTCCGTGGGAAGCTGCTGAGATTCCTGGTCCGCCAGAGGCACTAAGACGGATCTCGCCCCTTTCTCCATTTATTGACCACACGAATGGATCTTCTCCCTTAAAGGCTTGCCCTCGACGGAATCTCAGATGGACGGTTGCGCCCGAAGTGGCGTATTCTGAAGCCTGTAGTGATCCGGTCACAAGAATTAGGTCAGGAACATCCGACCGAACTGTTTTTACGACTTTTCCACTAGATCGGTCCCAGATCTTCACGTCTGGCCGTTGGAGTTGTAAATGGGAATGTAGAACTTGGATATCTCCCAGCACGAACTGAACGAAATCAAATACTGTGGTAATCGATAAGTATGAGTATGGGACTTGGTAGGAAGTTTGTAAAAACTTACAGTGACCGAATCCAATCGTAAATGGGTTTCCCCCAACTTTCCTATCCGTAAAGTACTCCAGCCCAGTCGGCAAAGAAAGCCTATCTATCCACTGTTCCTCCAGCGGCACGAACCTCGCTGCTTAATACTTTTCCAATGCGACCGCTTCCTATTAACTCGCGAATTTTCATGACTGCCGGTGCGTGCCAGCCCTGAAGTCCCACAACGGTTTTGCCCCCTTTCTGTCGTGCAAGGGCTGCTAGGTCACTTGCGAGTGAAGCATTCTGGGCCAAGGGCCATTCCACGTATGTGTCTTTGCCCTGGCGTACACTTGGAAGAATTGTTTCGTAATGCTTGTCCACACGTGTCGCGCATACGACGAGCTGAACATCTGGATCTGCGGCAAGACTCTCCGGGTCACCATATGCGCGCGTCTCGGATGGTAGCTTGAATGCGTCAATAGCGCGCTTAGCAGCATCTATGCTCGAGTTACATAATGCGATAATTTGAAACTTCTTCTGGCCCTCAGGGCTGAGTTAGGTAGGTACGGGAGATGGGCATGGCGAGCCCAATTTCCAAACGAGGAACTTGAGAGCCCGATGATTGCGGTTCGAATTGGAGGCATTGGGACTGTTTGTTGGGGTATAGGATGTGGGAATGTCATAACACATGATATCGGTGAGGAGCCCTCGACCCCTTCAATGACATCACTTATATCTGGGTTATGGGTCTTATTATCGAGGGCATTTGTTGACATCCTCCGCGATGGTGACATAATCTAAAACCGTCTTCGACTTAGTAATATGATGTTTTATTTTCCGGCACGGCCAAAATGGTCTACTACTCTAACAATAATAGATAGATGGGTATCGGCTTCTCCGCGATGTACAACCAATGATAGCCTTAGATTACACGTAAACGTTCCATTAATAATCACCAGTCGAATTAATAATTGAGTTTTCGATTTGTCAGGTAAATAGCCAGATAATTCTTTTTAAACCTTTAGACGGGGAAGTGTAAACGGTATTCATTCGTAACCTAATGGAAGTGAGACGAAAACCCGGCAATTTGGAAATTAGGCGGCTGAGTGGGTTGGTTGCATGCATGTATATAAGACCTAAACCGCTTTAGGTTAAGATAAATATCCTTGTTCATGCAGGTGTAATCCAGATTCAAATTTTGGGCAACTTTCTCGTAAGCATTTGTGTGGAGGTACATAAGACTTCATAATGCATGTATGATGGAGGGAGGCTACATGTAGGTACATACCGGGATACCTAACCTTAAGCCAACTGCATGCAGGAAAGCTGGATCCTTATACTCATTCAAGTTAAATTTTAGGCAAGTATTAAGTAAGTGTCTGTGAGTACCTAGGTAGTGTATTCACGCCTGCTTACAGCACGAGCGTCGAGGAGCTTAAGCTTCAATTGAAGAAGCTATTAGTAGGTATATATAAGGTAATTTTCATCTTGCTGTGATCCCAAAATAAATACAATTCAACAGATCGAATTCAGTTTCATAGGCATCTTATCACAACCTTCGCTACCTTGCAGTACAGAAGCTTTAATCGTATCACCCTATACTAGTCACCCTATATCAAAATGTCTTCCTACGTTATCACTGGTGTTTCCAAGGGGATTGGTGTAAGTTCAATTTTCACTCATATTGTTAGCAAATGGTGAGAAAAGTTTAATAACCGATTGCCCCTGATAGTACGAGTTTGTTCGTCAGCTATCGCAAGATCCGAACAATATTGTTATCGGAATAGTCCGAGACAGGCCCGCCACAGTTAAGAAAATATCTGAGGATACAACGCTGAAAGGACGTTCGAATATATACATCTTAGAAGCCGATGTGACCAACCACGATGCCCTAAAGGTGAGAACTAGACACAACGTGACCGTCAACTTCAGGAGAGTATTAACAGATTTTGTTAGAGAGCTGCCACCGAGACCGCTGGAATTACCGGCGGGAGCCTCGACTATTTAATCGGAAACGCGGGTTATATCTCGCATTTCGATGCCTACGAACCACTCGGAGTGCTGTAGGTTTCCTCTACGATCCGAACTGGATTCATGACTAACATGGTAAAATGAAAAGGGGTAACGAACCCAAAAAGCTCGAGGATGACTTGGGAAAACTTATTAACGTCCATGTCGTGGGAAATATTCACCTCATCAACTCATTCATGCCGCTTATCCTTAAAGGGCAAGCAAAAAAGGTTATAGTTGTCTCGAGCGGCTTCGGGGATCTTGATTTGACGACTAGATTCGACTTGGACCTCAGTTCCCTCTACTCCATCAGCAAGGCAGCATCGAACATGGCGGTAGCCAAGTTCAGCGCTCAATATAAAAGAGACGGCGTCCTTTTCCTGAGCATTGCCCCAGGAATGGTAGAAGTAGGCCACTACACGAACTGTAAGATTTGCCCTAATCCCGCTTGAACATCGAAATAGGAAGTACCTAACATATTTGCTCCTTTTTCACAGCGACCCCAGAGCAAATACAAAAGTTGAGTGGGGGTCTTGGGAAGTTCGCCGAGTACGCACCCAATTTCACTGGTCCGATAACACCAGAAGTCTCTGTCAAGATGGTGAGGTCGGTTTGGGAAAATGCCAGCCTCGAAAATGGAGATTCTGGTGCCTTCCTTTCGCAGTATGGGAATAAACAATGGCTATGATTTGTTTCAGCCAGATCTCTATCTCTTAGAACTATAGAGTTGTTGGTAGTTGCAGATTTCTGATATTTGACCACTATCAATAATTCATTTACGACTTATCATCGGACTTATTGATAATGATTTCCTATCAAAGCCGTGTCAAGTTCACTCCTCTAAAAACTATACTCAAATTTTATATTATACGGATGAGATTACGACTTCTGTTTTTATATACACGGTGCAGTATTACTTTACGTTATCTATCTGCGTTGCCTGTTTACATTACTTGCCTCCTATATAATTACCTTGTACCTCACATAGTTAAGATATCCAGGTTAAATTCATCTTCGTTTAGCCTTTTCCTCCTATTCTACATCGTATGGGACATTACACATATGGCACAACTATTAATGATATAGCTATACCTTATACAAACCTCGGGTTATCTGTGTTTACCAGGTATAGAAGTATGTAGTACTTTAAGTGATGTACCTGATGTACCCACCTTAAGTATCCGGTACAAATGCAATTACTAATGCATATAGGCACACGTAAGTACCTAAGACTTGTACACTATGTACGCCGCTCTTTCTCACTTAACCTCTTGGCAGATTATGTGCATGATGCAGTGTAACATGAATTTGATATAATGGGCAAGTATCCAAGCTCCCACGTTCTTAGGTACCTACCTATGTAGAAAGAAGATTAATTTGGGTACCTTACCTAGAAACCTCAACTCCTACATTCCTAGAAACATTCCCAAAGAAGCATCCAACTAAAACACCGCTATTCCAGCTTTACCTTACCAGTTCTCCCGACAAACACCTAGTGAAGGAGAGAAATTGACTCTACCTTGACTCAGTGCATACCCCCACTACGATGAATGCTAAGGAAATGGAAAGGGAGGTGGCATTGGCCATTGCCAATTCGGCTATCAGCGAATGCCCTGAGTTAAAGAAGAGGGCCAACTCAATGATGTTAAATATAGATCGCGATACTCATCTTCATGACACTACTGTAGCTCATGTAAAGCAATTTCCGCAAAAACGGGACTCCAAAGGTCCCGGCCTTCAATTGTCCTGGCCCAAATCCAGCGATGGTCGGCGTGCTGTTGTCGGAAAGCCACCGTCACATACTCCACCGTACATGTCGTCCCAGAGCGATGGGCCTCATTCCTCTGATGCCCGTATTGCTCACGTATCATACACGGATTTTGAAATGCACTATCACATCACAAACCCGGTAGCTAACGGTAAAGCGTCCCATCATTTATTCTTAGTAGGTTAGGTATATAAGCAGACATCGCTTTAACACGTCTTAGGAACCGTCCAACCGATATTACATATACCGTTAACATGGAATCCCCTAAAATTGGATGTTGGCGACACGAGTCTACTTCAATACTGTGAGTTCGTATGGTCCCTTTAAACTTTACTGATACGGTAATTAATGAATATAGTTCAATATACCGCTTCACGATCTTTAGCTATATTTGGTCACGATCCTATAGATCTAGGAAATCTACTAATTCGGATTGCTCTGGCCAGTGACACAACATCTGCTCTAGCAGTGCTCCAGTCGCTGCTCGCCCTATCTTCACTGCATCGCCACGATGTCCACTCACAAGCCGTAGAGCTCAAGATCTCTGCTCTCAAATCCTTATCAGCTGCAGCAGGAAATCAGCTTGGCACTACTGAAGCGGTCCAACATGTGGCCGCAGGGATGCTATTATGTTCTTTTGAGGTTGATGCAAACTCCACTTAGGTACCACGCCGTATAATACTCGTAATATTGCTAACCCAAACCGTCAGATTCATCAGGCATCTTGCACGTCGGGACAATGGGTCTGGTATCTCTCCGGAGTTAAGAACATCATTAAAACTGCCAGTCTCGACAAGTACCCCCAAGATAGTAATTTAACGCTCTTGTTAGATTGGGTGTACTACTATGATGTATTAGCACGCTTCACCCTGCGACACTGGAGTAGAGAGACTACGAAAAACATATCGGCTACATCAAGTGTTCGCGCTAAGGTTAGTGACCTAAACTGACCGACATGAGGGAAATTTTAACGGATAGTCAGGCCTCCCAAGTAGGGCCACCGGCTCTCGCTGCTATAGAGCTATTATCGGAAGTCTGTGATGCGGTATCCACCAGACCGCCGGCCAGAACGTCTGCCGAGAATGCGGATGATTACAAAAGCTTCTTAAAAATACTTGACTGGAGAATCAGAAGCATGCCAGTGGACGTCACGGTTAATAATATTCCAACTGACCCGTTGATAATGGAATTATATCAGCTAGCCATGCTGGTATATCTCAATCGCGCGTCTGAGAACTTACTTAACCAGACAATTGAGACTCAGCGGCGTATTGACAGAGCATTTACTATATTTTCTCGGCTAGGCTCTTGTGTCCGGCAATTTCCTATCTTTATCTTGGGCTGTGAGGCTCGACGGGACGACCAACGGACGGCGGTTCTTGATCTCATCTCCAGGTCCGAAAATGAAGAGGCCTCTCGATCGTTCAATCACGTCAAGATATTGATGCAGGCAATCTGGGCGCAAGACGACTTGGCTACTGGTGATATCAATTATTGGGACAAGCTAAGCTATATAATCAGTCACTGTTCAATTCTTCCTATGTTTGTCTAGTCGGGGTAGTGAACAAATCGAATTAAATGAACTAAATAGACCCCATAAGTTTACATTCCTACCTTAGTATATTTGTTACAAATCCAAGCATCACACTAGATATTAGGATATAATGCCCAAAATCCGATCGCTAAAAGCCGAGGGCATTATTAATTATCTATAAGGGAATCTTAAGCCACGCAAAAGTTACCTATACTCAGGGGTAGGTACCTTGGGTACCTAGCTACCTAGTGGTACATACACGTATATGCCGTCGTGTATATTACATACGGGTATGTACCTATAAGTACTGGTCTTGGGCAAGGTAAATACATGTATTGCCATTGTATTATATATAACACTCGCATCTATTGCTTTGCATCTCATTTTCATTATTCTAAATGTTCGAATATTCTTTATAAGCTTGTAGGTGTACCCTGCTTCTCCTCGTAAAATCCTTCCAAGGGTTGAAGCTATATTCAACATGGTTATGACTTTTGATGTCTCGCCTGAGACAAGGGCAGGCTTGATTCATTATTTCTATCGACAGCTCTTCGTTACGCCCCCGCCAGTGCTCCAGCGCGATGTAAACCTAAGTGGGAAGACGGCCATAATAACAGGGGCAAACGGCGGGATAGGATTGGAAGTGGCTCGGCAACTTCTAGATCTCGGCTGTAAAGTCATTCTAGCCGTTCGCGACGAAAGCAAGGGCGAAATAGCCCGGAAGGATCTTACCAATGGACGCGATCTTGTATCCGGATTTATTCAGGTCTGGAAATTGGACTTATCATCCTATGACTCAATCATAGCCTTCGCGGAGCGTGCCAAACGCTTAGAGAGCCTCGATATTGCTATTCTCAACGCAGGTATATACAAGGTTACGGAGTCGTTCAGCCCAACTGGTTATGAGGAGGGTGTGCAAATAAACTTCCTGGCAAATATGCTCCTTACGATTTTATTACTGCCTATTATCAAAGAAAAGAGAGTCGGAAGCCACCCAGGCCACATTTGTGTGGTATCATCCGACACAGCCGCTTGGACGAAATTCGAGGAAGGAAACTCAACGCCTGTTCTTGCTGCCTTTAAACGGAAGGCGGCGGATTGGAATATGGCGGACCGCTATGGGGCAACGAAGCTTCTCGGGCAACTATTTCTGACGGAGCTGGCGAAAAAGGTCTCTTCGTCTGTGGTTACTCTTTCTTGCGCCAACCCTGGGTTCTGCAGCGGCTCGGAACTTGGTCGCGAAACCCACGGCATCGTCCGCGTCATTTATAAGATCCAGACTTACTTTCTAAGCCGAAGTAGCTCTATTGGAGCTCGCACATTGGTTCATGCTGTTACTACTCTCGGCGAGCAGGCACATGGGCAGTACATCGAGGACGCAAAGATCCAACCGTGAGTTATACCCCACGTATTCCGATGTAATGTCTTAGATTACTTGGATTAACATGAATGCCCTTAGTATGGCGGTTATCGTATACAAACCTGAAGGACAGCGTCTTTCGAAGCAGGTTTACGAGGAAACATTGGATGAGCTTTCGTTCGCGGGGGTCAGAGACATCGTCAACGAGATATCAAAGGCTAAGTAGTATACATAATACTTAAACACCCTAGGGATGTATCAGATACTAGGTATATCCTTGATTGATGCTATACAGAAAGTGAATATTAGGATAAATAGTGTTGAACTATTAATGCTTGCCTTTCTACCCCTTTACGAGGGCGCTACGCACCCGTTATATACATAGTAGATACACCCTGTAATTCCCCTACCTACAAAATTGATCTGGCCTCGATTCTTAACCTTGATTTTGGGGTTACCCGAATGGCTATTGTCCCATGGAACGGACTTATAATAGATGGTGCATTCGGCGGTATCATAGATTCCATCCGCTGAGCCAACATAACTCGTGACCTATATAGTTGGAATATGAAGAATTACTCGGCGTCTATATATGATGCATCATTTAGTAAAATGGACGAGTACTTGCTTCGCCAATTATCCCGGAGGGCGTAATAGCGTCTTGCAGTTTGAGGTTTTCCCCAATCAAGCCATAGCAGCTATACCGCCTGACGACGGCGTTTTCTTGGAGAGATTTAACTGGATATGTGTAAGGATGTCTCTTCTACACTTGATTTTATAGCTATGTCTATTTTTGTTATTGAATTCATAGCTTATTGAACCATCCCCTCATAAGAAAAGTGGAGTTTATGTCGGTCGAGAAGATCTTCATCCGAATGGTTCAAAAAGGGCTCAGCTCTGTAGCCTTACTATGTATTTAAAGTTCTTACATTCCATGTGTTCGTGGTACGGATCTCGGGGTAAGAGTCGAGTAGATGTAATCACCGCTTATTATGCATATGCGGGATCGTGCATTAGCGCAACATCAGGATATCCTCCAATGAAATGACGTCGCTTACAGTTCTGAGCGGCCTATGTAGAACCTCCATGCTTACTTCGTGCGCGTTTACGTTGTTATAACTAGCATGACAGGTACCTGATCTTAATGAGTTTTTTTCTTAAGGAAGACTTGTTAAAAGGGGAAAAAAAAAACCCCATTCTGCGCGTGAAGCGCATGTGTTTTAACTAAGTACGAAGACGCGGCCTTCGGAGCCGTGTCCGTTTGAACCCATGGCCATCGGAGCAATGGCTCTAGCCTCTAGGGCTAATTAAACCCCGAATTTCTATACTATCCAGAATAGGGGCAACCATACGTTACAATGGTGGCGGAATATTAGGTACCTATTGCTCAAATAAGTAAGATCGGAAGCGAATTGCTGCGGCGGCCAGTATCTTATTCGTTAGTCTGTGAACATATCTTCCTATCTCTAAATCTCCCCTTACGCAATTGGGCTTCCTTCAGCCCGATGATTATGAATCTCGCCCGCCGGGTTGCATTCTAGGGTATGCATTGTAAGCTCCACCGTAATAGAAGCCTCAAATAATGATGAGAGTTGGTTTTGGTCTATTCTAGACAGTGACTAAGCCAAGTGAACTTATAGAATTTGCCCATGAACAAGCAACATCAATCGTGGAGATGTTTGCTTTGGTTTCTTTCCCCTTTCTGATTTTCTTCGTTTGTTAAGATTGTCGTTCAAGCTCCACTTACATAGGTAGCTCCAACGTGAAGAGAAGTCACTATGTCATCCGAACTCGAAAGCCATGCTGGGTTTGAAGCCACATTTATTGGCTTCCTCTATCGACAGTTCACTAAACCGAAGCCCTTGCCGGCAGGCACTGATCTCACGGGCCAAGTTGCCATTATCACGGGAAGCAATACGGGGCTCGGTTTTGAAGCATGTCGGCAGTTTCTAAAGTTAGGATTATCTCGTCTAGTCATGGCCGTTCGCTCACAAGCGAAAGGCGACGAGGCGGCTACCCAACTGCGAAATGAGTTTCCGACGTCCAATATATCTGTTTGGACCGTCGAAATGGAATCGTACGACTCCATCCGTGCCTTCGCAGACCGGTGCGCAACCCTGTCACGCATCGACATAGTTATCCTAAACGCCGCCCTGATGAAGATGGCTCATACGACGGTACCCGCCACTGGCCACGAGCTCACGATGCAGGTAAACTACCTCTCGACAGCGCTTCTGGCTATCCTACTCCTTCCCATACTTAAATCTAAGAAGGCTATCGGTGCCCAAAGACCTCCTGTTCTTAGTATCGTTGGGTCTGACCTGGCGTATCGGGTGGACATGGAGACCAAGGGCCCTATACTACAGCAGTTCGACAAGTCCGAGGGTTATGGTCAAATTCTATGGTATTCCAGATCGAAATTGGTACTCACGTTCTTCGTTGCCAAACTCGCCGAGTTCGTCGACGCCGATGATGTCCTCATAAACATGTCGAACCCCGGCACTATAAAGGGCACGGCATTTTTCCGCGAATTCCCCACACTTGCCGGGAAAGTGGTAGCTGTTATTCATTTTCTCTTCGCGAGGCAAGTGGACGTCGGCGCTGCTATGTATCTTCATGCGACTATCGTTCAAGATAAAGAAGGCCACGGGAGCTTTATTAGTGATTGGGCTATTAAACCGTACGTATTATTATGTGTTATCTCGTGATTTCATAATTGCTAGATGAGGTGTACTAATATTAGTAGATATCCCCTGATCTGGTATGGGGCGGAAGGCAAGGAGCTCGGTGAAAGGCTATGGGAGGAGACAATGCAGGAACTGAACTTCGTTGGCGCGTCGAAGATTATAGAGGACATGAAAGCACGATGACGAGCAATGAAGATACTGAACAGAGAAAGTGTAACTAGGTACCTAGTGGACCGTGTAGAAGTATCGGCACCCTACATATAATAAAGACCTGTAGTGGTGAACTTCTATTTATCCGTAGTTACGGTGGCCTGTAGGTGCAACTGTGCCAAAATCAAGAAAATGGGTTGCACTATGTCTAATAAGGTAATAGTAACTTTAGGTGCACAGTATAGGCTTAACTATTTACGCTGTATACGCAATTGAGGTAATATTTACCACTTTTTCAACCTTATACACGATAACTTTACCAGTTTCGGGTCAAATCAAATATAATTTGGACCATGATATTTTTTCATTTTTTAATTGAAATACTAATGTCTTTTAAATGCTTTTAAAATAGGTACTGGTAAAGATATTAAAAAGACTATGTAATTATATAAACATTATAATACGGGCTACCCAGGCCATTTTCTCCACGAGTTTAAATTGTTAGCCAATCATAATTAGTCTTTACCTTAGCCTTACATACCTTACATAAGCCCAAAATATGAGCCTTGATATCCGACCAATCAAACCCCTCCCTGCCGCAAGCTTAAATACATAAGTTCAATACTCATACATACTCATACATATTCAAATAACTTTACGAATATACCAATTGAAAGATTACAATTAGTATCATTTGATATTCCCAATTGATGCGAAACTGATTATTCAAGTGGCATTCGAATCGGCCTCTTCGTTGTTGTGTTATAGTAGAATCAAATAGCGATTGTCTGGAGAGGAAAGCAAGCACGTGACACCCTTTACAAGCACCTCCATGAAATCTTTCCAATCAAGCTCCGAATACTTTAATGGCAATATAATACTCAATACACATCGTATAAGCATGCAAATTGTACCATTGGTTTCGCATCAAATAGGGCTATTAAACAATATCAATCATAATCTTTGACATGCTATATTCGTAAAGTTATTTGAGTAGATACCGTTGTGTATACACGGCAAATATATATATAGAAAACCTTGTATTCTACCATACTGTGCACTTAGAGTTACTTATTATATTGCCCGTTTTGGAAAAGCCTGACTGATTTTCCTGATTTTGGCACAGTTGCACCTACAGGCCACCGTAGTAGTACTTTAAGACTACCTAGGTAGTTAGTTATAATCTGTTCCTTTTTCTCGCGTTTTACAACCCTTGGGCCTTAGTACCAACCAGCTACCTACCTTAATGCTTTTTCCAATTATAAATCCTACTTAATCAAATCTCATTACCCTAATCGCTCGGAGTATCTATTTTATGATAGAAACTGCCTATCATTATTTGCATATACTTCGGTTATTCATTTTTTGTCTTATAGAGTTAATACCCCGCAAAAGATAGGTACCAAGCTCTTGTTTAATTCTATAAATTTTAGTAGCCTTAGGTTTAGTAGGTACTTAAATACTTACCAACTATCCGGGTCATCCAGCGGGTTGCAAAAGCTTAACCTTATCCGCACATGCGGATAGTGTCTTGGCGATTTTCAGAGATGTACGTACTGAAGTACCTCTTAACATCAGGTACCTAGGTACATAATGCCTTCGATTTGACCTTCAATAAACCAGTAATAACTCTTGACATACACAGGTAGCTCGGGTACCCATATCGTAAATATTTTTCATCTGTGTAACTAACAATACATAAATTGAAGGACTACGTATATATTTTCGATGCAATATAATTAGTGGCCGGCGACAATAATGGTACTTATGAACCTAGAAGATGCGAATGCAAATGGAAGATGAAGCTGCTCTAAAAAGAATGGTTAATTCACTACCCCTTAGCTTCACAGTACGCCAGCCTGGCTAAAGGACTGTTGCTCGAGAATCGACATTTCCGCGGACCGCCACACGATCTGTCGCCTCGACGGTGAACTTTAGCCCCCTACCACCCCCCGTCTCCAGATAGGCACGAACACTCGAACAGACGTTGTTAGACGGCGTGAACAGTCGACTAGAATAGGTTCGTCCGGAAGTTTGAAACAAGTGGGCGTGTTTATCATTCCTATATGATGGAGGAAATAGGTGAGTTGTACGAAGAGTTCCTCACGCCATTCCTCGAGAATGGGACGAGAAGCGACAAGAATCACACGGGGCCTTCGATGTTCGAGGGGAAATGTACTCTTCCGTGAGATATAACCTTAGCAGCCTTGGCGATATAAAGTCAAACGAACATGCTAGCATACTGGAGGCAAAATTTGGAGTAACCAGTTCAATTCCACGCCAAGCTTGGGGAGTTCAGTGATGGGAGAAGGCAACGCTGCCCATTGACTAAAATAAGCCCCCTTACAGCACTCAAAGGGCGCTTGGAATGGATGGAAAATCACACCCTACTCCCTAACGCTCGTTAGACAACAAGATACCGACTTACGCATCGAAATTCTTGCCGGTATGCTTTTTTCATATGGCTACCAGATATTAAACTGAGATGTGATTAATAGCCTTCCTAAATTGGGCTCGAGGATACCCCACAGCCTCACACCATACCCATAAGACTAATCAGGGGGCTTACTTTGGAGTGAAGCTCGTGTTAGTTTCGAGATGGGAAATAGGAGACACTTGCGCCATGAGCTTCTCTGTACTCTAGCACTCACAGGTAATGGAATCAACTCCACGTAGCGGAACTTACTGCGCTTGAGCGAAACACCTTGGCTTCGAGGCCATAAGGTAGAAGACCAAATCGTCTTTCCTGCTACTGGATACATGGCGATGGCCATCAAAGCCGTGTCGCAAATCATAGTAGCAAAAGACAAGTCGGCTATTCAGCTTGTCTACGAATTCCGTAACATCAATCGTCAGTGCTGCACTTCCCGTACCTGACGAGAGGGGCGTGTATTTCACCGTTAAGGACTTGGAAACCCACACCACCATGTCTCCGCACAAGATATCTAACATCAACAGCTCGGTCGGAGGTATGAAAATGACAATCGCGAGTTCATCGAAAAAGACGGCCTTCTATGCATCAGCAGATATGGCCCTAACTTTCGAGTAAATTCCCCTTTTCGACCACGACTAGGACGTCAGAGCGAGAAGAAGTTGAAGACACTTACTGAGGCAAAGCCAGCATCGGCTATCCATTAACCGAGTCGGGATGGTAGACACGCTATACTTAGCAGCTGTTAGAACCGGGACAGGATGGGACACCGCCGGCGGATTACGTCAATATCGAAGTCCTAAAGGTGAACGCTTTGGACGGTGGCGTAAATACGCGTAATAAGACAACTTCATTTAACTTTTCCGGTGTAGTAACTGCTAATAGTCAAGATGTTAAGCACATAAATAAAAGTGGGCGATAGTGTCGTGGCCTACGCGCCTTATCGTCTTGGTACGGCGGTGCGAGTACCGGCAGGATCAGTACACAAGATGCTAGACAAGGAAGCATTTACTATCGTGCCAGGGTTACTGCTTGTCTATGACACTACACGAAATGATATTAACGAACGCGTGCGTCTGCGTGCCGGAGAATCTGCGTTGATTCATGCCGGCTCAGGCGGTTTAGGCATTACTACTTTCACTCTGACCCGAAGCATAGGCGCCGTAGTCTACACCACCGTCGGCTCACAGGGCAAGTGTGATTATCTCATTAACGAGATGGATGTTTCGCCCTCATACGTCTTCAGTTCGCGTGACCCGTCCTCCGTTTAAGCCGTTATTCAAGCCACGAGTGGCCTAGTGTTGACGTTATCATCAATTCGCTTATAAGGGACTTGACGCATGAGAGCTGGCGTTGTCCAGCCGAGTTGGGACAATTCATAGATATTGGCAAGCGAGAGCTCATCGACGCAGGAAAGTTGGACATGCGCGTGTTTCTTCGCAACGTGACCTTTACCCAGGATCCCCCCCCTTCCATCGCGCCATTTGGGATAGGCTCATGGTCGAGACGCTACAGCTCTTGGCACTAGAGAGATCCAGCTATTGCCCATGAAGAGGTTTAATGTCAGTCGAATTATCCAAGCATATCAATATTTCTCGAGCAAGGATCGGGTGGGCAAGGTGGTTATATCTTTAGAGGCTCTGACGGCCCGTGTCTTGGTAAGCTGCAATGGATTAGGTATAGATAGCTTGCTCCTCTCACTGGTTCCTGTAAGGCAACCTAATTATTATAACAAACGTCCATCTATCACAGGTCGCTCCAGCTACATATGTCAGTGCGTTCAACGCTGAAAAGGGTGATGTCTCCAAGGCTGCCGATGTGACTGTCGCAGTTTTGACTCGCATGGCTACTGGTCCTGGCCTTTTCTTGCTTACCTCGTCGGTCTCGGGAACTGCGGGTACGGCAACAGAGAGTAATTACTGTTCGGCGAACGGCTTCCTCGACGCCTTTGCCTATTGGCGCCGGTCACGCGGTTGGCCTTGCGTCTCGGTAGGGTTAGGCATGATCTCCGGGTTGGGCTACCTAGGTACACAGGAACCCCGAGATAGAGGCTTTGCTGCTACGGAAGGGGATCCAGCCGCTCAATTGGGAGTTCCTCCAGGTAGGTAATCGATCTCGCGCTGGCTAGTGAAACAGCCTGCAGACCCGAAGAATCGCATCTGCTCACGGGCCTAGAACTAGCCACCATTCGAGGACTAAGCGCCCGTGGCTTCGATGTAACTAGCTACAGTGTGCTGGTCACGGCCCGCACTTGTGTCTTGTTGGCTTCGTTGTTGGCTGAGGAGGGGGCCGCGTCAACAGCTCAACAAGGTGGGCGCGCTGCTGTGATGGTGGCAGCAGCTTGGTTCAAGGACGTGCCTGTGACTATATCGGCTACTCTTGCGCCTGAGGCCGACGCTAACACCATACGCGAAGTTATTTTACGCATGGTCAAGAAGCTATTCTCTAACCTTATCCTGATGCCTTCCAACCAGATCGGGGGAGACAGGTTGTTGCTTGGGTTTGGCGTTGACAGCATGATCACGTTTGAGTTCCGCTCTTGGTTTTGGTTTGCGTTCTGAGTCGATGCGTCGTTCTTAGATATCATTAGTGTTCAAACATCCCTGGTGGTCCTGGCTGAATTAGAAGCTAGACAGACAGGTGCTTCTGAGTCATTAATTGATTGTCGCACAATATGAGGCGTAATTGCTCGTCAGCGATTACGGCGTCGTTTTTTTGCATTCGACATTGATTATTTCGCCTACCCCTGAGACGTCAACGTTAACTGTTAACAGCATCATGTCCGAGTCCTGATTCATTAAAAATTGGTAGGTACACAAGCTATCTTCTCTCTCTCTCTCTATGAATTATGTGAAGAGGATGTCTAGTTAAACTCAACCTATAATTTCGAAATTTATAATTTAATGATAATAGTCAAAAGATCGCCTCATGTCATTCCATAATAGCTACTGCCTAGGGGCGCCCTACCATTTAGTATGAACTTAAACCTGTGGCTCTGTCATAATTGCAGACGCGAGTTTATAGCACCCGATCTAATGTTGAGCTTTGATCGTCTCCTTGAAATTATTCTCCAAGCTTAACGCTTCTGAAGCACTGTTGGGTACCAACACTATGTTAACTTTAAGTCGGCAACAAGACCAATTCACCCCCTAAAACACCACACATTATGTCCTCAGGTACGTACTTAATTTTGAATAGTTTGATTGGTTGAATAGCATTATAGCCTTCCCACAATAACCTCACTCAACAATATGATTGGATATCTCCGTGCTAAATTAACTGTATAATACGTTGGTATGTGAGAAGATGGGTTATTATGCATAATTAGTAGGTCAAAGAGAAAATAATTCAGTCGAGTACTTACCTCAAAGCGCGTCAGGGGTCGAGCGCGACAAACGAAGATTTACCTACTCTGTCGAGCTGACTAATATATTTCCTTATCGACCAATTAGCACTCACTCTGATTAGCTAGTTTCCATTGAATAAACCTCAACTCAAAGAAGCTTCTGCTTTAGCTCGTGTTCAAGCCATCCGCCCAGCCGCCAAGCCATTATGTAAAGCTATTGGGGACGCTCTCTCCACCTTGTCAACACCCCGTTGTTATAGGTATTTAGCCAAAAGTTTAGGTATTATATTACTTAAAACATCATACAAGTATATTTATATTGAGGCATCTAAAGGTACTAATTTGGCTAGTTATCTATATTTTATAGTCTTTCTGTTGGTTTTTGATAAGAGGTCGTGACCAGGTACGGAATAGAATCCTAAGTATCAGTATATCACGTGATAGCTTGCATAATATATGTCTGTCTTAGGTGTGCCTACATCTCAATTGGCTTCGGTCTGTCAGGTGTTTGTGTCATCCGTTTGTATGGAACTTGGCACGGTATCGGAAGTCACCTATGCAACTTAAATAACAATTGTGCGGTTATATTGAATATAGCGTAATTTCTGATTACACCTAATCGATTATTACTAGTAGGTACCTAATGGTTTAATCTAACAGGTAACTAGTCACTACATTATAGTTTTGTTAATGAGTGTGTTGATTTTAAGGTGTAAAAGATCTAACAAATGACTCTTAGGCCTTGTCAATGCGATCACAGTTGTCATAGCCATTGGCACGGGCCCAGTTTAGGTACTAGGTACACTTACATATATATACTGGATACGGGCAGTTGCAAACGGAGGTTAATGTCTCCCGGAGGGGCTTTCTTTTACCTACCTAGGTAATGAAAAGTTTCATTTGGTTGGCAACTTACGGAATACTGGGTTACACGCAAGGTCAGTTCGCGTTGAGCTTTTTTAGCACAGTCACTTGTGGCTGGTGGCTGTGCGCACTAGGCTATATTACCACTAGCGCCTTCAAAAAGCTGGGCAAGGTAAGGTACCTCCCACCGTTCGTCCCGTCCACTTTCAATGTTCCCCGACCACCAATTCTTCCAGGTCGATTTTCCGCCAGTTTCTCATCACTATTGCCCACAACACGCACCATACGGGGCCGCACCGGTACATCATCAACCTCATAGACCCATATTGTATTACTTCTTTTCCTGTCTGGGATACTCAAGTTGATGATTCGTAAGTATTTTAATTATACCCCGCTGCTTGTATTGTTGCTGGACAAGGCTGGATCTTGGTACTCTGCCGCGTACTTGACATCGAATCCATCTCGAAGACATGTCCACGCGACCTTACTATCCCTTCTTCACTTGCATCTGAGCTTCTCGGACGCTAATATTGGGATGGGATCTGTCATTCTCGGGTTGTCTGACGCGTTGAGACTTCTTCACACGTCACGTCAACACCGGTAGACCGCAATTCCTTTTCCATCACCTATCAGCCTTGTCTTCATCGAACCATCACTTGATATGCGCCAGATCCATTGTCAGGCTCATTTCTCATGTTTGATAGCTGTTTATTCCGTTATCATGATCGCTGATCTCAGCGCTATCCGTCAACCCTACATATGTAGTATTTTCTCTGTTAATACCTGCTAACCTTGCTGTCACGTAGCAGACAGGCGTGTTCGATCCCAATATGTCGAGCTCACCAGAGCCCAGTCCCGTCAACGGCCATTCGTCGCCGCAGGCGGGAAGGAATGCGAGAATTATTCTAGACGATCGCGTTAGCGAGAGCGACCTGTCGGATGTGAACGATAATACAGCCCTTCGAGAATCATCCTCCCCATCCTCCCCTAATAATCAATCACCTCAAAATGCCGAACAAGACCTAGACTCCCGAGGCGGTGCCGAGTCAACCGATAATGACGAAGACAATAATGCCTCAGATGATGCCGACTTTGACATGGAGGACAGCCCTGCTCCTTCTCAAAGCGACGCTCCCCATGACGAAACATCAACTTCGAATAGCTCTCGCCGTGCCCCGAAGAGAAAGGCTGGGGGTGGTGAGGATGAGTATATACGGGAGAATCCAGAGCTATATGGCTTGAGACGAAGTGTATGTAAATTAAACTATTATTCTAGACTCCTGCTAATTCGTCTTTACCAGTCTCGCCCTACGAAGCAGCCCAAGGTTGTAAGTCACATGTTTACTGTCAAAGCCTAGGTATTTATGACAGCTATAATTCTAATACGGCCATATATAGGTTGAATCTGATGACGAGGATGACTCCGCCTCTGATGTTGTTCCTACAAATCGTCGAACGAAGAAGCTCCGTGTGGTGGAGCAGATTTCACGGCAATGTGAGTTTCTTATTGAGTATGGATAGTGCTCTTCGTAAACTGACAAACTACTCATAGCTTCAAAACGGGGCACGCCTGCGAGACAAACACCTGCTGATGATTCCGACTCTGATACTTACGGTGGAGCCCGTGCTCGAACATTCATGAAGAAAGCTCGTCGCCAACAAGCCCAACCACAGTCCTTATTGTATGCTGAGAAGCGATGGTCCAATAGAAGAGCTGTCCAACAAGTTCAGACATACCACGAAAGTGATATTGACGACGAAGATGAATCCGAGCTGACGCCTAATTACTGGGCTGGTGAGGATCTGACCGAAGATACCATGTACATTGAAAAGGTTGTTGGTCATCGCATGACGGATGGTGGTGAATTAACCCCGGACGCGACTCGGGAAGACTTCGAGTACAATATCAAATGGCAAGGTAAATCTTACCTCCACAATACGTGGGATACTTTAGAGATTCTCCGCGGGTACCGTGGTTTCCGGAAACTTGAAAATTATTTCAAGAGGACCATTGAGTACGAGATAGAGCTCAAGTTTGCCGGTGAAGATCTTCCACCCGAGACCCGAGAACAATATATGCTCGACAAGGAACGCGAACAAGACGCCTTAGAAGACTATACAAAAGTTGAGCGTGTTGTTACCCAGCGGAGCGGTGATGAAGGACGGGAATATTTCGTCAAATGGAAGGGTCTCACATATGAGCATTGCACATGGGAGCAAGCATCGACGATTGCTGAATTGGCCCAAGACAAGATTGACCAATTCCTCGACCGCCAATCACGATCGTGGACGTCTGATCGAACCGAGTCGAATCCCTCAACACGAAGCAAGTTTTTGAAACTTGAAAAACAGCCCAGCTACATACAAGGTGGCGAACTAAGAGGCTTTCAGCTTACGGGACTGAACTTCTTGTGTCTCAATTGGTGTCGTGCAAACAATGTTATTCTTGCTGATGAGATGGGCCTTGGCAAGACTGTCCAAACCGTCTCATTTCTGAGTTGGCTCCGAAACGAGCGCAAGCAAGAAGGCCCCTTTTTGGTTGTTGCACCTCTAAGTGTCATACCTGCTTGGTGTGATACCTTCAACTTATGGTCCCCAGACCTTAATTACGTTGTTTATCTGGGCAATGCAGAGGCGCGAAATACGATACGGGATCACGAACTCATGTTCAACGGCAACCCGAAGAAGCATAAATTCAATGTCCTTGTCACCTCTTACGAATACATACTGATGGATGCCGACTTTCTAAGAAGTATAAAGTGGCAAGCTCTGGCCGTGGACGAGGCTCACCGCCTAAAGAATAAGGAATCTAAGCTGTATTCGGAACTTATGAGTTTCGGTGCCCCTGCTAAGGTTCTCATCACTGGTACTCCGATTCAGAATAACTTGGCCGAACTGTCGTCGCTTCTTGACTTCTTGAACCCCGGTAAAGTCCACATAGATGAGGATCTGGATACTCTTGCTGCCGCAGATGCTCAGACAAAACTTCGAGACTTACATGCTGCCATTGCACCCTTCATCCTGCGGAGAACCAAAGAGACGGTAGAGTCAGACCTTCCACCCAAGACCGAGAAGATTATCCGGGTAGAACTTTCAGATGTTCAACTCGAGTATTATAAAAACATCCTTACCAGGAATTACGCAGCCCTTAACGAGGGAAATAACGGCCAGAAGTCATCCTTGTTGAATATTGTCATGGAACTGAAGAAAGTCAGCAATCATCCGTACATGTTTCCTGGTGCTGAAGAAAAGGTTCTTAACGGCAGTGAACGCCGGGAAGACCAAATCAAAGGCCTGATTGCTAGTAGTGGGAAGATGATGTTGCTGGACCAGCTTCTTAACAAGCTGAAGAAGGATAATCACCGTGTCCTGATTTTCAGTCAGATGGTGAAAGTACTCGATATCCTTGGAGACTATCTTCGACTACGTGGGTATCAGTTCCAGCGATTAGATGGTACTATTGGTGCTGGCCCAAGACGCTTAGCAATCAACCACTTCAATGCAGAGGATAGCGCAGACTTTTGCTTCCTACTCTCGACACGAGCAGGTGGCTTGGGTATTAACCTGATGACTGCCGATACGGTTATTATCTTCGATTCAGACTGGAATCCTCAGGCTGATCTTCAAGCTATGGCAAGAGCCCATCGTATTGGACAGAAGAAGCCTGTCACTGTTTACCGGCTTGTTTCCAAGGAGACCATCGAAGAGGAGGTCCTTGAGCGTGCTCGGAACAAGCTCTTACTTGAATACCTTGCGATACAGGCTGGCGTTACCGACGACGGCAAGGCATTCAGAGAAGAATTCAAGCAAAAAGGCCTTAGGATCGATGAAGCCAAGTCGGCAGATGATATCCAATGGGTATTGAAGATGCGATCCCAGAAGATGTTCGAACAATCTGGCAACCAAGAGAGGCTAGAACAGCTCGATATCGATTCCATACTAGAGAATGCTGAAGTTACCAAGACCAAGGTAGACGACAAGATGAACCTTAGTACTGGTGGTATTGACTGGGACAACTTTATGCAATACACTGATGTCAAAGTTGATGACCTTAACCTCGATTGGGATCAAATCATCCCGGCAGATCAGCTGGCAGCAATCAGAGCGGAAGAGGAGAAGAAAAAGGAAGAGGAATATCTTGTAAAGGAATTGGAGGCCAGTGCTCCACGACGCGCTGCACTTAAAAGTTCGAGGCCTAACGGCGACTCCGAAAGAGCCGAACGGATTGCGAAAAAACGGGAACGGGAGCAACTGAAGCAAGAACGCCTAGAGGAGCAGCGCGCTATGCTCTCCGATCCCCGACGTCCGCTTAACGAGAAAGAGACGCGTAATCTCATTCGTGCATTTATGCGGTACGGTTATATTGAAGACCGTCCGGACGAACTGCTCCGTGATGCTCGCTTGAGCGATCGAGACCGCGATTTCATAGGCGGATTGCTTCGGGAGCTTGTCGACATGTCTCGTGATGCCGTGGAAAGAAATAACGAGGAGATCCGAGCTCAAGAACAACAGTCGAAGAAAAAGCTAACGAAGAAGGACATCAAGGCCGTTATGTTTGACTTTGGTGAAGTGAAAAAAATCAATGCGGAAACCATACTTGACCGCCCCCCACAGCTACGACTCTTACGACGTGTTCTCAATGATCTCTCTGATTTCCGACAGTTCCGGCTCCAAGATGCCACCAAGGCAGCACACTATAGCTGCGAATGGGGTTCCAGGGAGGATGGGATGCTCCTTGTTGGTATTGACCGGTATGGCTTTGGTGCCTGGACTCAGATTCGCGACGATAAAGAACTTGGGATGCAAGACAAGTTTTTCTTGGAAGAACATCGCATCGAGAAGAAGCAAGAGCGGGAGAATGCTGACGCCAAAGGTGCCAAGGCGCCCGGAGCTGTCCATCTGGTTCGTCGTGCAGAGTACCTATTGTCGGTACTTACCTCTATTCATTCGGACGATGTGAATGCTCAAAAGATTGTTGAGAATCACCATCGTAATAATAAGAAGGCTGGCCAGGCTTTAGTTAACGGGCATCGTCGTCCGGAGAAGGGCGGCTCCGTCTCTGCATCCCCTGCTCCTCAGGGTTCGAAGAAGTCTTCGCATCGGGATAGGGACCACGACCGTTCTCACTCCCGGGGAGACCATCATCGTTCCCGTAGCAGCATTGGAGATGGCGGCACACCAAGACCAGACACAAAGCGGAAGCACAGCGGCGAAGCAGACGATCGCCGGCATAAACACCGTAGAGTTGAAGAGCTACGAAGATCCGACATTAACCAACAGCAGGCCGAGGACGAAGATGACGAGAGAAATGCACCCGTCATCGAAGCCCTCATGCAACCGATATGGACGCACGTCGAGAAAGTCGAGTCATGTACGAAAGCGAATATTCCCGTGGCTAAGGCTAGAGCCAAGGTCCTGAAATCCGAGATCACTGCTATTGGCAACTTCATCGAGGGTCTTCATAAGACTTCAGGGTTATCTTTAGACCAGCTAGAGGAGCTGAAACCAAAGCTGTGGTATGTAGCCACAAGCATACAATATTAACAGAAGCTAATTTGACTATAGGAGATTTATTTCTAAGAGAATACCGGCTTCCGAGAAACAGTCGTCTGGGAAGCCAGACAAAGAGAAGGATAGATCTGGGTCGAGCGGGATGACCGGACCCCGGTTAGCAGCGTTATACCAGCAACTTAAAGAGGCGGAAAAAAACGGCGACGCCACCCAGAAATCAAAGAGTTCCGGCACAGCTATCGCCAACGGGGGTTCTCGTGGCGAACCGTCTAAGGTAGCTAGTTAGAGATACTATTGTGAAGCATGGCCCCCCTGGTTCTAGTTGATCAGGAATGGTAATAGCACGCACAAAAGTCGAATGGCCATCCATTTTTCTTTCTGCATTGTATGGCGTTTGGGTTCGACATATTAGATAGGCGAGGCTGGAGTTAAATGAATCATACCCACGAGAAAACCATCGACGTTACAGGAGATCGGGAGTTTTTATGGTCGATACGGTTAATCATACTCTCCACCTTGTCTATATTTATAGACCTCCGGTTCTGGCCGTGATCGGAGCGTTCTAGAGGGGACCTGAGAAACAAGAAGGGCCACTATAAGATTTGCCATTCAAGCATGATTTTCGCATTGCGTTTTTTTGTTTTATCCTACGGGACTGCCACGATATGAAGTGGTCTATCCATACGACAATCAACGAGGCATCTCAGCAAAGACAGATATTGGGCACAGCAAGCAGACGAGGAGTGGGGAAACTTAACACATGAAAAGCCTTTGCAGCATATCAATGAGCATTACATCGCAGGGCGTTGCGGATGGATTCGTTTACCTGTTAGGAGAGGAATCGAAGCGAATAGGCTAGCTATGGAGGGCACTCCGGTCGACTTTGACTTCTACTACCTAGTTAGCGTTAGCTTTATGCCTATTGAGTCGTGAGGTGTGTGTCAATGGAGATTTTGAGCCAATATGCGCTGTCTTGCTGCTTCTGCTCTTGCACACGTGACATGTATCTTACCGCTTGTGTCTAATATTGGTATGTATTATCCCTTCCCCGTGACATTGAGTCTTAGTAGCTCTCTATACATAATGTAGGTACTTAGGTACTATAGCTACGCCCATAGGTACCTACACAGGAGAGGGAGAGCTACATAGACGTGGCATGTGACCTCGCCACGTGGCATACAAATGTTGTCAATTTCCCCCTGGTTATGCAAGTCACTTGTCTCACACATTTTACATCACGCATATAGACACAAATAGTAAAAGATCGCAATGATGGTAATATTTCGATTTTTAGTCTTAGGTAAAACTCCGTAACTTTCTGCTGTATGCGAAGGCCTCCTTTTCCATGTTATGTTGGAACAAGGAGGCTGTGGAGGACAGCAAGACGAGACTACGCCGTCTGCACCACGCCGTTACATGCGTTTCGGTGAATCTATTTAACTTAACGCCCGTCTATGCCTCCCAGCCTGCTTTTATCGAACCAGGTGACTGTAACCAGCCGTTTCTCAAGTGCATGCTACCTTACGGACGCACATGCCCGCGCACAAATCCCATAGGCGCACCACGTGAAAATGCAAAGAATAAAACCCGCTCATCCCCATACAACCACCATGCTAAGTAGTTCTTCCTCTTGGTAATTATTTTATTCGCATGTAATCCTGTAAACATTCCATAGGGCTTGTCTCGAGGAACGGCCCTCGAGAAACCCGCAATTGCCTGCGGATAATGATGCGCGAATCCTTATGTACAAGTGAGTATTAGAAGAAAATAGTATATAGGCTAGAAATATCCCCAAAGCTCGATTAATCGATAAGGGATGCGAAACCCCGGGGTTTAGATGTGGGTGAGATCGTGCCGGGAGGCGATGTGCGTACAGACTGTTGCGGAGGGGTGCCAGGAATTATTTCGATGGCTTTTTGGGGATCAACCGGCAGTCCATTAGGCTTACTACGAGGTCGCAATGAGAATTCATCGCGCATAACCGATCGGGGAGACAGGACAGCTGGTTCGGGTTCGGATTCGAAGTTGCGCTTCGCGGGTAACTTGGAAGAAACTGCCGTTGAGGCCTTGGTGGCCTTGAATGCAGTGCTGATAGTAGCCTTGGGAGCCTTCGGTTCTGCCTTCTTGGTCTGTCTAGGTTTTCGCTTGGTTGTTTTCTTGGTATCCTTGGATATCGAGCTTGTAGTCGTAGATGCACTCGTGCTGGGAAATGCGAGCTTGCTTTGCTTCGGTACCGGTTTGGCCACAGGCAAAGCAGCCCGTACCTTAGGGCTAGCAGATGGTGTTGGTATACCTTGAATATTCTCGATAGACTGTGGTTTCGCCTCAACGGGTGAAGCATCACGTGATTCCCCTTTGACGGATACGCCAGCTTCAGGCGTAGTCTTTCTGATCTCTACCTCGAGCTTGACACCACGAACATCCTCATTATACTTCTTGTCGTCGACTACTACAGCGTCTTCGATGTTCTCGTCGTAGCGGGGTAGGTGGACCAATGAGGCAACATCGTCACATTTGCCTTGTACGACCAAATCCCAACAATTCTTCAAATCGGCGCCCGTAGGTTCGGGATCTAGATTGATCCAGGCAGTAACACCGTCCTTTCGCTCTCGCGTCACGCGGCACATGTCTTTGACCATATTGCGCACGCCGGGAATCTTCATACTGGTGCCGACAACGATGACGGCATCAGGTCGAGCTCGAATATCGGCTCGGACGACATTGGCAATAGACTCCTCGTCCGGATTATATTCGTTATAGAGGACCATCCGTGGTCGCAACCTCCCAATTCCATGACTACGCTTTCCGGCGTGAGAGGTACGTACATTGTCTGTCTCCTCGCATCCTTTGCAGAGCGGCGCTTCCGGACCTTCAAAGAGCGAGCCGTCGAATTCGCTTATCTCGCTACATTTAGAACACACCATCTTGGCTAGCCCACCATGGAGTTGAATCGTCTTCGGCCACGGACCCTTGGTATTCAATGGAACAGTGGTGGCAAGAGGTGGCATGGACGTGTCGAGACCATCAACGTTTTGTGTATAGAGACGTAAAAGGCGGCCCTCTTTGGCGAGCGACGCGATTAAATGGTGAAACGGGGTAGGTTCTGCATTCTTCGTAAGGTGCGACAGATCCCGGACCATTGTGTGGAAAGATGAGGTAGTAGAGTCATGCTTGTAAACAGACGCGTCAAATAGGTGCTTGCCAGATCCCTTGAGGCCATGTTCCTTAGGCAGCGTAGCGAATAGACCCTTTGACGACCGGAAATCGGGAACTACGGGAATAGACATATTAGCAAGTGAATTGAAATATAGTGAACACTAAAACACCCAAGGGCAAAGGAAAAAGAATACACACTTCCTGCAGATACAGAGATTCCAGCGCCGGCAATTACTACAATCTTTTTTTTCTTGCGCAAAACCTTGGTTAACTGCTCCAGCAGTTTCTCGTCTTTCTCATTCTGCTCAGAGGCTGCCTTCAGATCGAGATATTCAGTAGTTCGAGGCTTGCGCTCAACGCGGCGTCGTTTTGCGGGTGGTGGACCATCAGGGTTTACGTGAATCTCGTTTTCGATAGAGACTCGGTCGGAAGGCTTCATTGGCGATGCGCTTCCAGAATTAACGGTTGAAGGCGGGGAGGGCAAACGACGTGGATCGTACAAGATAGATGTTCGTGGTGATATAGTTGGTGACCTTGAAAGAACGGAGAGAGGAGAGGACGGCGGGTTGGAAGAAGGAGGATCAGAGAGGTCAGATATTGACGATATTGAAGAAGTATCCATGTCCATAGCTATAAGTTCCAGGTTCCAGGTTCCAGGTTCCAGTGGGGTTCACTCAATTAGATTGTTTGAAGGAATAATGGAAAAGAAAGGCGACAGGAAAGAACGAAGGCTATCAGATCGTATTTCTCCAGGCAAGCAGTCCAAACGTAAAGAGAGGACAGTATGGTCGCGACTTTGTTATGGATAAATATGAAAGACGAAGAACCAAGGACTGAGAACCAAGGCGGTAAGGTAACGGTAACGGGGAAAGAGTCGAAATGCTATGTCATGTCATAGCGCGCTATACCAAATCTAATAAACAATGTGATACAACCCTATAATCCTAGCCCCGAATCCAGGAAACCCCTACGCCGTGATACCGGCGAAATCGAATCTATAATAATCATGCAAGCGTTGTGTTGTGGCTGTGAGCAATTCGTGTACGCGATCTGTCCCGTTTCGCTGAAGAAACGGCGGGTGAGGTAAGATGAGAGATGAGGTGAAGGTGGGAAAAAAAAAACTCTTGGGGGTTTCTGGAGGTCGGAGGAGGAAGGGGTTACAAGAGGAGCCCGGGACAAGCTGGACAAGGAGAACAGGGCAACAGCTAACCTAACAAGAAGCCGCGCGCGGTCGGTCTTCATCCCCTAAACTTCCTTTCGCTTAATTGACCACGAATGGGACATTTTAAAGTTTAACTTGCATAGTACTATAACTTTATTTTTCTTCAATGTTCGCGTATACATACCTACACGAGGCAGGTACCTACCTTCTATCTTCTATATCTTCAATTTCTGCATGCATTTCCCATTGTTTATATAAGGTATGTAAGTACATGTAGCATACGTCTCTCATATTCCCTTCTAAATTAATACTATAGTTATTCTAAATTATAACCATCTATAAGGAGGAAGAAAAACTAAATAAATTGTTTTTAAGGGTTGAATCAACCAATGGTCCCCAGTACGCATTGTCTTACTAGCCCACCGACGGACGCTTCAGTAGTGAAAGCCCGCTCTTCCTCTATTACCTAGTTCCCCTTCATTTTCTGACTCCTACGTAAAGGTAACCGCGAAAGCATTTTAGTTTGTGCTATAGTAGTACCTACCAGTACTCATCGCGTCTCAATCACTTAATCTGTCTACATGCAAATTGGTTTATTACCGAGTCATCTCAAAAATCTGAATGATAACGCTATTCAGATGCGGTATGTCATGTAGGGCAAAACAAATCGTGACATTGACAGACAATCTTATTACCTGTTTGCCTTGCTGCATGTTAGGATACAGTACCTAATGCACTAATAAAAAGTCTTCGATTTTGTTGCTCCGCGGTTGCCAGGGATAAAAGTGGCTCTGGATCTGAGGCTGATCAGCCACATGGCCAGGATTAACAAAGCTAATAATACCTTTCAAGCCTCATCTAAACGAGGAGAATGGAACGCTGAGTTTGTCAGATACGTAATTCCTGCATAAAACCCCATACATCTTCTACCTGCCTAGTCCCTCTTGGGTTAGCTAGTGCGTATTATTGTACATACACTATGTGACATAGGATACAGTACATGTACCTATCAGATCGTAGACAATCACCAAGCACAGACCTACAAATCTCAAAGCCTTCCAGTCAGTGACATTAACGTATAATTCAACGTTCATCATACAATTCAAAATTCAACATGCTGTAGCTTCCCGATCGAGAAAAATATAAAAAAATAAACCGTAACCATATCAGTTCCTTCTCTTTACACTATTTATATAAATACTAAGGGAACGAACTCGATTATCAAAGTTAAGAAACTTCTTTCTTCATCTGTCAACTCTGCTTCGGCTAATCCATTTGGTCTCTAGACTTTGGAAATCCTTAGGTTAGCCGTTGAACTATGACCAATTGTTAATACATACCCCTAATTTATAAAGAATATCGCCCAATTCTACTTAGGACTCTATCGAGTCTCCGAATTCTTCTTCTAAATGACGTCTGGCAAGATGCCACTCATCCTGGACAATCCTATGGGTGGGGAGGCTATGCAGGTCGACTTAGACGACGTTGACGACCTCTTCGGTGATGGGGCTCCTCTAACTCTTCCGCCCCGCTCTATAAGCAAACGCCTACGACAGAGGCTAGATGAGCTTCGTGAACGAGGCTCTTACCAGTAATGTTTCCCAAATTCTGCCATACTGTTCAAAACAGCTACTGATTACTCGAAAGGGGTATTGCCTGGTCCAAAGCCGGCACTATAGCATCTATTACGCCCGATGGCCAACAGCTACAGTTGATGTATATCCATGCTAAAGGCAAAGATGCTACATTTACCTTGAGCGATCCCACTACGATCGCACCATGGGAAACTCTTCCAGGAGGGCCCGTTGTTCATCTCAGCTGGAGTCCCGCCAGCCCAGAACTCGCTATTATCGACGCAGTAGGCAGAGTCCTTATTGTTAGTTTCTCGGCGACCCTGAATCGCCCATCTCTTTCTAGGAGGTGGGATGGCGATTCTATAGATGATTTGCAAGCCGTTGTAGGAACATATTGGCTACCTAGTCATAACACGGCAAGCCCAAGAGTACGTCCCAAAATCTTCCTACTTATCATTTCAATGGCTGACATGCTACTAGTCACCTCCATACACCCCATCTTACGGGCCGGCTGTTAGGAACGGAAATGGAAATAACTATAGCTACCAAATAACTCCCATTTTCAACAGCGGCCCTCTTCACCCCCAGAATAACAGATCCGCTTTTATATGCATCACCACAACCGGGGTCCTTAAAATGTTCTGGCCACAGAATAACGGTAAAATCGAAGAGACGATTATAGAACTTGAGAATGTCACATTAGCAGACGATTTAATCACCCACGCCGCAGTATGTTCGGATAGGAGTGAGTCGAATGAGCGTGCCTATCTAGCTTAGTAGTGATTCACTAACAGGGTAACAGGAAGCCTCATGGTAGGGTTAGCAACTGCGTCGAAACAGCTATGTGTTGTTCAAGTTGCCATTAATTGGAATAACATCAAAACCGAGGGCGCGCAAAGCAATTCTTCTAGCAATCAACCACTAAGTCCAACGCTCACGAAGAGGCACGTAGCAGTGACAAGTTGGTTCCAGCCAAGCTCCAGCGATTTGCATTCCGATGCGTCCATGGCAAAAATCACCCACATAGAAATGTTACCTCCTGTTCTCCTAACTGCGTTCAATGTACCAAACAAAGAATGGTCGCCTATTACGATCTTGACAGTGAGATCTCTTATCCCGGACCCCAACTTACCCTACGCTCAAGAAGTCCAGAGCGTTATTGATCGATGGGAGCTTTTGTCGGATCACCACCAAACGCTTCATTCTGCATTTGAGCAACTGGGCCTTAGAAAAAATAGTGCCGGTTCTGCAACACCAGTATGTATGAAATAACTCGATTTAAGTTTATTTTATTGACCTATCTTCCAGAATGGCAGCAGGCTTAAGAAACTCGATTCCGTCGTCGTCAACAAGGTTATAGTAGGGGTAAATATCATTAACTTTGGGAAGGTTCTCTGCTTCTCCTATAATGACGGTAGCGTGGAGTATCGAGACCGATTCACTATGGCTGAGCTATACCGAGAACCTAATCTGGATCGCATCAATTCGGTTTTTGATGCTGGCTTTTCACAAAGCGGTGAACCATCATGTATGTATCATTTGCACAAACAGTCATGATGTGCTAACTGATTCATCCCAGGCCTTCAAACGGCTTTTTCGCCAACGAATTTCTCATTTGTTCAGCTATGCGAAGACGGCAAAGTGAAATGGCATAGCATCAACTATACACTAGCAGACCCCGAGTCTATGACTGACAGTACGTATCTATCATTCACCCGACTAATTCATGTCTCACACTTCTTCAGCTCAGGTATCCGCACTCGTCGCGGCCTTTTACATATCCACCGCTCAGGCCGTCAGTCAGGGTGCGAATTTCGACGACATCCTAGCAGTAGCTAGGAATTTCATTAATAAAGACTGTAAGGAGGTCTTGTGGTCTATTTTCGAAATATGTATCTTTATTGACACGATTTTAGCGTTTACAATCGAATGGGTAAAAACCCAAGTACAGCAGATGAAGATACCTATCGACTATACAGAGGATACATCGCATGATAGTCTCATAAAGAATGGAATCCTGCAAGTTTGCTTCAGTATTATCAATTACCTTGGGTGGAGAGGTGATCTTCAGCCCCGGCAAGGCTGGGGAAAGCTTTCTCTGGTGGCTCTGAACTTGCGCAATATCATTGTCATGATGCATCTCTCAAACAGCCAAATACCCATACATAATAAAACCACTATAACACCGCTTGATGAACCTGGTAGGTTTAATCTTCTCTTGCACATTATACTCTCTCCAGTACTAAATACCTCAATACAGAAGCTGTCAGTGCTTTGGCCGGATGCGTCAAGTGGTCAAACGACCTACTTAGCTGGATATGTGACTCGCTATTCTGCCTCTTCGATGATGCCGAGTTCATGAAACACCTGAAAGGGCCTCAGCTGGATAAAATGACGATGTACTTACATGCGAATAACGAAATCGCGTTGCACTTAGTACTCTGTTCAACAACACGCGCCCTGCTTTCCGTCCTATGTCGTCGTATTTTATCGCTCGACTCGTTATCTACCAAAGCTATTAGTTGGTACGAAACCCGCGAGAAGTCTATTGTGAATAACCCAAATGCCGCAGCTGATCCTCGCACGGCTGCCCACACCGCTCTGCATGCCGCATACCAGAACTTACGACAGTGCATTTCATCTTCGCTCATTAAAGCTGACGAGTTCGACAAGCTTCTCACCAGCCTAGGAGCTGAAATACGGACGGCTTACAGTACATCGCTGGCAATAGTCGGCGAGCAAGCTGCTAAAGCAGCAAATAAGAGTCAGCCACCACAAAATTCGAACCCTAACGCGCCCAGACCAGACCCAGCTCAGGAAGCCATTGCCCGCGCACGTCAGCACTGTGAGCTCGATATGCTAGTCCTGCAGGCGCCACCGTCATCATTCGTCCCCGTTGTCAGCAAATTTTTCAACCAGGACCTGAAGGAATTTCGCGCGCGGTCCGAGGTCGCAAAGCTATACTTCGCCGACTATTCGATTCTCGAGCTCGACGACGAGCCGCGCTCGCTAGCCAAGAGGAGGGCGAGCGGTGTGAGGGTTGATCTGTTCAAGAGGATTGAAATATCGAGGAACCCGGGAAGCGCGAATGGCAAGAGCCAGTTCCCTTGGAGGAAATGTGCGCGTTGCGGTAATGTCATGGAGGACCTCACTCTGGTTAATCATAAGCCAGGGTTCAACTTGTTGCTCCGTCAACAGAGCAATTGCTCCTGCGGTGGTCGGATGGCTATCTTACCGCTGGAAAGGCATAATTAGACACCTAGCTAAGAGTTGGCATAGTTATTGGGAACTTAGCCACAGATCATATTTAACTCCCTTTAGCTAACGTTTTCTCAACTGATATAGCATAGTTATGGCTTGTTTTAGGACTAATAATCTTATTATCTTACTTGGGTACTGCACGAATCCAGAGGTGTAATACAGATGACAGAGGCCCGTATACTACCAGTTAGATACATATGTCTCAAAACGCCCGTTCACCATGCTTGCCGTTAGAAGTAGTGTAGACACCAAGGACGAGACCTAAGTTAAAATTAGATTCCATCTCAGGTACTTTAAAACATTGATCTACCATCGTGTAGGTGGATGTGTGACAACTGTTAGGGGCCAGCTAACGTACCCGAGTAATATGGCACCAGTTCGTCTCTTCGACAGTGGTCAAAGATCCGTATCTCCGCCTCCTTCCCTGCTGGCCCAGCCGAAAATGCAAAGTGTGTACTGTTGACGGTCTCGATCTGCAGAGTCGGTTTCTGTCCGGCCCATCCCTCCGGCAGCGGGTAGGCCACTCTCGGGGCGTTAGTAAGCCCACGATACGGCGTCTCAGAGTGTCCCCTGAAACGAATGTAGGGCTGGAGCGGGGCGTTGCTCGTATTATTCTCCGTCGAAACCCGTGAGAGTGAGCACCGAGGATTTAAGCGCCAGGGTATTCCAGTGGCTAGGCGGCGAGACGGCGTAGTTCCGCGCGGTGGGCAGTCGCCAATGAACGAAACGGATCGGCAATTGGCTGCCGCGTGGGAATATAACGGAGTCATCAGCATCGCTTAGTTGGCCCTCACCCTGCTCGGGGATTTCTTCAGCGGGTAGCGGCCAGCCTGAGACCTTGCCAGAGACCTCGCTAGAGATAGGGGTGAAGGACAGGCCATCCGCCCTCCTCCCATGTCACGGGCGTGAGTACCGTCTCGCGGCCCAGGGAGAAATTTGCGAAATACGGAGCCTCGTCGTAGGAGCTACAGCCCACCACCTCCCGTTTGCGTCTTGAAGCAAATCAGCATGTCCCAGCGCGCCATGGTCACTATGTGGTTCTCGCGGGTTCCTCCTTCGGCTGCCAGCAGATACAGTAGTACCATCATCGTCCCAAAATAGGCTCGGGTCGAACCCCGGAAAGGGGGAATATATTGGGTCGGACCAAGTCTCGGAACTATCCGGATCCCCAATAATCACGAAGAAGTTATCCCAGCGGGAATTATTAATGTGCAGTAGCTGCTGGTTGACCAACGTAGTTACGAGGTAGAAAATCTCCTCTCGAAAGCGTAGCGTCGGCGCATAAATGTCACTGGTGGCTTTGGGAGGTAGGAAAGCCATGCCAGGCAACTGCTCAGAGCGACTGAAGGCGTTAGACACATGCTTCCAGTGTACCGAATCCCTACTGGCATGGATTGGTAGACCCGGGAAAGCAAGGAAGCTTGATGACGTGCAGAACCAGGTATCATCGAGCTCAGACACAAAGATGCAGCTCGGATTCGGGTGAAATCCGGTGGTGATAGGATTCTAGAAGGTGGAGTTCTGCACTAATATATCCAGTGGCTAGAGCAGGGCTAAGAAGCACGTAAGAGGCGTGAGATGCTACATATTAGTCGCCGCGAAGCGCGAAGATGCTCGGGAGATCCGTGCTCGGGAGAACGGTACCGAGCTTCCCTTGTCTAGACTCAGGTACCCATGCCATGGTAGTAATAAGGAAGACAGTTCTAACTCCTAAGCGAGTCCCAAACCAAATCCTAGGGATCCTCAGCTCAGTATTAGTTAACTAGAGACTAAAGTGACGTTTGAATAGTATATGTACAATACCATAGTTAGGTAGCTATGTAGAGGGGATCCTTTGGATACTTCACCGTTTTCCCCCGGATGTCTAAATGAGTCTAACCGGGGGGTATTTGTGTGGCTTACTTGGCATAGGTCAACATTCTTCAACACCATGTGAAACTTATCGCAGCAGCCAAAACGTCATGGCTTATACGGAATAACGTGACGGTCGTTAAGTATAGATAGGCTATCGTACATTGAGATTAGACCTCTTATATCAAGCTACGATGTCATCCGCCGACCGCCTTTTTTAGTGTTACGCTCCGTATAATGGTCATTCTAAAAGCAGCTCTTCACCGAAGCGAGTTTAAAGCTGGGAGTTTTCTAAACTAGGATACGCCTCACATAGATGGCCCTTTTTCTTTTTACTGGATCTGTTGCACGGGACTACCGAAGCCCGGGATAGGTGATTAGTTCAGCGTATCATCCAACTAAGACTATACAAGATATTTTTCAACTCATGTCTAAACCATACCTTGTCATTTACTATTTTAAAATATATTATATAAAATATATTATTTAAAATACATTATATATTATTTACGGGCTGTTATACTTATTGAAATATAAGCTTTGAATTTAACATAGGTAAGGCACTGAATAGTAATATTTAAGATCCTTGCTATAAGGCGGAAATGATAGGTAGAGATGTTATCGTCTTGCAGCCATTCAGCTATCTATAGGTAATCAGCAATATAATATAAGTACCTAGAACGGGCAGCCACTCTAAGTTACCTAGACCTAGGTAACCACATATTGCCGGTACGGTGAGAATGCGAGATTACGTAGGCTGAGCCTGTATACAGCTCATTCGAGTCTAGAGGTCATCTTTCAGCTACTATAAAGTAGAATGCAGCTCGGAGAACACCACATTAGCAGTTGATAGAGAAAACGGGACCTCCGAACATTCGTAGCTCAGTTACTCATTCAGTTATTGTACGGATTATCTGAGACATTCCTGGATGTACGTATGTCTGTGCGTATAATTTCGGATAGACGTAGCTGGCGTGAGACATGTGCTTCCTGCAAGTCATCAAACGATCTAGCAATTTTACGACGTAGGTAGGTAAACAAGGGCTTGAAGCTTCCTACATCTTATTGCATAATATCCAACATAGAATACACCGAATGGGAATGCTTTGACGGGCTGGTATGGATAAGGCAACATGATTAAAACAGCACAGCGCCATTTTTACATATATATATGAATATATATAAACATGTCTTAAATTTCCTCACCTACTTTTCATACAGACCAACTCATCATCACAAATATATTCTCCTCGTTTCGTAACCATACCTTTTCTTCACGACAATGCAGAACTACAACGAAAAAGCATCTGTGGCCAAGAGGCTCAAGGGCCAGCAGCTTTCTATTCCGGACATGCGTCCTATATTCGCACATTGGCCCAGCGAACAAAATGAGCACTATCATACGGTGAAAGACATAGTAGACAAGCAGATCGCAGAGTATGTGGTGCTACTTAGAACAGACTCGGGAAACTACTAACACTATCAAGGCAACCTATGAAAGATGAAGCTCGTAGAGCATTTAATAATATGAACCCGTCTCTCCTCGCAGCAAGGTATATTAATATTACACATCTACTTAGCACCATTTTTGAATTAAGACGCCGAGACTAACTATTCACGATTAGATGGTGGCCAAGGTCTTCAGAAGAAAACTACCGCATCTTAATTGATCTGATCATCTGGTTTGGCTACTGGGATGATCTCTCCGAGAGCCTCGCTGCTGATCCTAGTGCTGCCGAAAACCTTCGTAATGCCACCAAGGTCCTCGGTCGCCAGTCGTTCGGTCTAGCAACTCCAGAAGAAGAGGTTGACATCTCTAACCCGCTCGTGCTTGGCTTTAGAAGAATTGGCGAGAAGATTTGTGCCGTCTATGATGAAGGTGAGAATGCAGCCTACTTAGCTTATAAATTTCTCAACGCGTATATTAATGTTCTCTGTGGCATGCAGAGCAGCGAAAGACCTTCTTAGCTCATGTCGAGAAATACATCGATTCGACACAACTTGAGGGAGAAGCCGAGTTGAGTGAAACCCTGCCCAGCCTGAAGAGGTACTGGGAGGTAAGGATATTGACGAGCGGCATGGGAGCATTGCTCGGCGTCACTGAGTAAGTAACCGACTATACTAATACCAAATATTGAGATGCTGACGCTTAAGCAGATTTGCCGCCGAAGTCAAACTACCCCGTCATATAGTCAGGTCAGCTGTATATGAGAGCTTGTGGACGACAACTATCGTAATTAACTCAATGTATGTGCATATAACAACCTAGTTATAGACTCGGGTTAAGTGACTAATACAGGATTATTAGTGTAAACGACTTGATATCATTTAAAAAGGAGATGGTAAGTATGATTACATTGTCGAGGGGGATTTGCTCATATGGCCTTTAAACTAATACGGCCGTATCCATAGAAAGCGGGAAGCGTGTTGAGTTCCGTCGCTATACTCTACCAACAGGTTGACAGCCTTGATGCGGCGGTGCAGATGTCGGTTGCGCACCTCAAGATACTGGTCGACGAATTTGACCACACGGCCAACATACTGCTGTCCAAGTTTCCCCTGAGCCCTGAAGAGATTGAGTCTGTCTCGAAAGTCATCGATACTCTCAGGATGGTCAACACTGGAAATCTAGAGTGGAGGTTTGTTAACTCTTTGATTGAATAAGCACACTGTTCATAGAGCCGGCTATGTTTGCTAACATCTTGTTCAGTTTGCAGGCGAAGCGCTATGGAGTCTGCGACTATATAACGCAGACAGGGCAGATTGAAGTGGTGCTGTGATTGCTGAATAGGCCATAATGTTGACGTTCCTGGAGAAAAGAAAATGAAACATGGTACACGAAAGAACACGGGGCTTATAAGGAGTGAGCTATAGATGAAGGTTGGGATTAGGATTTATGGGTCAATAGACATGGGGCATTCATTCGACCCTATTCAAGTATGAATCATTAGAGATTGATATACATAGATTCCTAGAATTTATCATAGCTCCTAAACTTTCATATTATAAGATATATACCTATCCAGTCTAGTTTCGTCACTAAGTCGTGATGAAGCTAATAATGTACCATGCTCTATCTTTCTAGGATCCAACCGGAACATAAAAATATACTAAGAAACTTATCATCAATATCATCGTCAATGTTAAAAACTTGGCGTATCTTGGCGGGCCCATGCCCATATCCAAGCCCGCGTTCCATCCGCATCCCGAAAGGAAATATAAACTCACAAACTCACAAACTTAATATAACTACGGCAACTTGAAATCTTACAACGATATGCCGGTCTTACATTACCGAGCCGTGGTCGGTTGCATGCTGCCAGGCATTGGTGTAGTATACGACTCCTTGCTAGAGTGCTCGTAATACTGAAAGCTTAAGGGGTTAAGGTTGAGCCATGCACCCGCCTGTTACCCGGATATGACGACAGGTACCGAACTGTTCAAGATATATAATATATATAAATAGACATTTATTTGCCTTTATTCCCCTTACCATATTGCTTTTAACAGACGATACTGAGTAAACACAATATTACTTACTACCGTATCTATAAAGTTGAACGCGTAATTCATGATGAGGTTCCTCGGCGCACTCCTATCAGCTCCCCTTGCTGTCCTCGCGGCATCTATCCTGGAGGCCGACGGCGAAGTGATCCCGGGTAAATGGATTGCCGTCCTCAAGCCGGCTAATACGACCGCTGAGCTCTTCAGTACATTTACAACTATTTTAGGTGGGATAGCTCCCGAGCATACCTACGACATAGGGAGTTTCCAGGGGTATTCGTTCTCGGCTTCCGATACTGCGATCAGCTCGATTGCAGATGTAGATGAGGTTAGCTCACTACCGTCTTTGATATTGAAGCTTTTTCTTATATAATAGTTAACGACTAACAACCTCTAGATCGCATACATTACACCCGACACAAAAGTTAGCATTGCGTCCCTGAAGTCGCAAACTTCGGCACCATGGGGTCTTACTAGAATCTCTAACCGGGCGCCAGACGCCTCTAATTACACGTACGACCAGTCTGCTGGAGAGGGCACGTATGCGTATATTATCGACACAGGCATCTTCGCCGATCACCCCGAGTTCGGCGGGCGTGTTTCGTTCGGCGCCAACTTGGTGAATGGTAGTACTAACAACACTGACGAGAATGGACACGGTACTCACGTCGCCGGCATAGTTGGCTCCTCAACCTGGTATGTATGAAAACATCCCGTGTTGTTGTTGTTATTTTCGACCTCCTTTTCCAGAATGGTTTCGAAATATAGACTATAGTAGCTAACACTCGCTAGTAAGTGTGATGGCCCTATCACTTCGACTCGTCCGAATACGGTGAAGATGCTGGAATTGTCGGGTTGAAAAGCTGACATAACATGTTTTCATACATTAGACGGCGTGGCTAAGAAGGTAAACCTGATTGCCGTAAAAGTTCTTGGTCCGACTGGGTCTGGTGGTACCAGTCAAGTAATCGCGGGCCTCCAGTGGGCCGTGAATGATGCTATCGCGAAAGGAAGTGAGTTCCTCTCCCTTACCAGTTAATCATTTGCCATTTGCCATAACCAGAAGAACCCCGACTAACGAGAGATGCAGCAATCAAAAAGGCAGTCGCCAATATCTCACTCGGCGGTCCAAACCTAAACCCCGAAGCACCTCTTAATGCGGCGGCCTCGGCAGCGACTAAGGAGGGATTATTTATAGCCGTCGCAGCCGGCAACAGTGACGCGGACGCTGGGGGTTTCTCTCCCGCCAACGAGCCTTCTGTATGCACGGTTGGCGCTATCCAACGTAATGATACCCGCGCGTCTTTCTCTAACTATGGCGACGCTGTCGACATATTTGCGCCAGGAGAGGGTATAATTAGCACGTACAACAATGGCAGCACGGCGATCCTGTCAGGAACTTCCCAGGCATCCCCATTTATCACCGGGCTCGGCGCCTACCTGTTAGCCCTTGAGGGCCCGCGTGATCCTCTTGCTCTATGTAGCCGTATCCAGGAGCTCTCTACTAAAGACGTAGTAGTAAACTCCAGGTCTAAAAACAATAACGTAGCAAACAATGGAGTTGAAAAAGTTGAAAAAAGCAGCTAGGACTCTGGGTTAGGATTTAGCAGCGTCATGTCGCGGATACGAGGTTCTGAGGTGTATCTGGGTTTGGGATATGCATTGACTACTGTATATATCTTGCATTAGTTGGAATATACTTTTTACGACTTAGTCGCGTCATGTTCTCCCTCGGGAAGAACCAAGCCATGCATCCCCTTGTACGGTGCGGGTTCTGCAGGTTTCCACCCGCCTCTCTGCAGTAGACCTGGATCCTCGAGCGTAAAGACTTCGATCTTTAGTGGCCTGCAGCACTTGATCATCTCCTTTTCGCTGTCGGCCCCGAAGCCCCATAATGACAGGTCGCCACCTGGGCATGTACCTGTTATTGTTAGTGAAAAATACTAGGTTAAATATGATAGGGGAGTGAGGCATACTGAGGGCCATCAATATGTCCTGTTCGGCTAAGAACTCAATGTAATCTCCCTTCTGGGCAGGACATGGGTTCATAAAGTAACGGCCTTGCTCATCTAGGCCCGTGACTTGGAATATATTGATAACGTCGTGCACGTCGCCCTCATTTAGTCCATAGGGAAGAACGGCTCGTGTAAGATTGGAACGGCAGTGAAAGTCGTATCCCTTACCCGAAAGCACGCTCGAGATATATCCATCGCACCCCGTACCTAGTAAATCGTGGACGCGGCCGCCATGCTCATCGACACCGTACCACGAGAGACTGTCACCTATAATTGTCACGAGGGGACGCATATAAGGTAGACACGACCATAGCCTGTCGTACGTCGAGACATGAGAAGCGTAGAGTTGCTTCGTGCGCGCCGCCCAGAATTTCTCCCGGGGATTATGAGCATTCCAGATATTTAGGTCCCCTTCGCGCCATTCCACTAATCAGCTCGTCCTTCTCACGATAAGTCAGGGTCAGGGATCTACTCCCTATGTCAGATATACATACCAACCTGCGGACCCTCAGGCGTGCTGATTCGCACAATGGACCCGGCGGGTGCTTTCCAAGCCCTACCTGACCGGATAGGAAGTACAAACTCTTGGAGTAAGATACGCGGGGCTGTCGCGATTGTACTGTATAGGTCTTTATTAACTGTTAGCGGTGACCCGGTTACGGGCAGATACGCGGGTTTCGGCTTTGGAATTGGCTTCCGGGCCTTAAGACGGGCCTCGGCTTCTTCCTTGCTTATAGACATGATGGAAATAGCGAGGTTATAGAAAATAGTGAATAGGTATTATGTTGTCTTGACTCTTATATAGGTTAACTAAGTCTTTGAAGTGAGTCTTTTGATCAAGACTATATAATATGTTGCTCTAAAGACCTCCGGTAACGCTATCGGCGAGATGAATGGTGTCTTATAGAAAGCAGTGCGGAGTAGTGAATGATTGAATCCTGGACGCGAACTAGTCAATGAAGGATGATAGTGGCCTATATGTATGTATTAGTAGTGTCAAATATCTCCATATCTCCCACTCTTATTCAGTTTCTTATCATGTATTAGTATATAATATATATATATTTTCGTAATATTATGATATGTTACAAATCGAAGAGCTATTTCATAATAGCTGTATGCGATCTAGCATGACGGTTGCTTTCCTCATGAGGTATCCCGTATGAAGTTGGCGAACCTATTTGCCAATAGATATAGTAGTCACTCAGTCTCCCGCATGGTCTTATTAAGCGCACTGCAGTTCTATCATATATAATAGGTGATGACATCGGCGTCACTCCTGCAATAGCTATTGTTATTAAGATGGACTAAAATTTTAGGGCAAGATACTGTAGTATTACAAGTACGTAATTGTATGGTGAACTGCGACTGGATAAAAAGGGGTTAAAGTTAAAGGAGAGAAGTTTGGATAAGATGAGATAAGATAAGCTAATTAATTACGTGCTCCATACATGCCATACCTGCCATACATACATAGCTGTTTGCTTTAACTAACACCTTCTAAATACAGGGGGCCTACGAAAAGGTTAGGTAGTGGATCATACCTGCCGAACCTCATCTGAGTGCCTGCGTTATAGGTTAGGTACTAATCTAAGTTATTACAAACAATACAAACAAGAAGCTTCAACTGCCACTGCCACTTCATCTGCGACATTGTCTTCTACAACTAACATTTATGATTTACGCGAACGCAAACGAGACACAGACGACGGAGCTCGCCACAAGTCCCAAACACAAATAAGAAAACCGACCAAGTCTTAGGTATTCCGTAATTAACAATGGATAAGCTTCCGCCAGAGATCCTCCTCCATATCCTCGAATTTACCGTCGTAGCGCTCTATGGCAACAAGAACAATCTTCTTAGGCTACGCGCCACTTGCAAGCTATTCAATGAAGTTCTAAAACCTTTTGCCCTCCGGACGCTTCAATTGGAATTCACGCGCCTCGATCGAACCGAGAGGAGGCTAAAACCGCCCGACTACGATGCCTTGCGCCGGATAGGACCTCTCTGCCAGGCGCTATACCTGGATATGATGGTTGTGAGAGACGATAGTACGGGCTCCTATGATTTCGCTGCTGCTTAATTGCACTGACTAACTCACTTTGGCCGGTGTAGGTGAAGTAGGGTTCTTGGGTAGTATGTTTGCTCAGATCCCCGCCATGAACTCCTTCGTATCTCGTCTACGAAATACCTACTGCATGAATGACTACTCCTTTACCGAGATCGACTACCGCCACCAACTAGGTCGTCTTCTCGAACAAGCGCCCAACGTCACAGCAGTAAAGCTAAACCTACCCTTCCAATTGGTGTCCCCAGGACCGTATAGCGCAACGACTATGATACTAGGGAATACCTTCGACGCCTTGGCACAGCGCCCAGAAGAATCCGAAACTCTCAGGACATTGGTATTAGAGAACCTAACCGACAGGTCCATAGCGAGCCTCTGGCGGAACCCTCAGGACGTGAAGAACATAATCGGCGCCTTCAGGGATCTCCGACATCTATTCTTATCGGTTCGGCGAAACGAGGAGGAGCGAGATCGCACTATCAACTTCCGCAACCGCTTATGGGAGATGATCGGGAAGGCAGAAAAACTCGAAAGCCTATGTCTGGCCGACCTGGACGTAAACGAAAAGCACTATTGGGATATCAAGACCTCGTCGCAGCGGGACTCGACGCTCGAAGAGTGGCAGTTCAAGTCCATACCCACAATCCACAAGCCGCCTAAATCAGTCTTGCCTAATCTAACCCACCTGGAATTATGGCAAGTCGAAGTCATGGGCTCTGGTCTTGTGTCTGTACTCAAGTGTTTTGGCCACTCCCTAAAGGAGCTCTTCCTGGACGGCGTCTACCTCAAGACCGTCTATAGCGCCGAGTCTCCTCAGGACGTAAACAGCACGCTATGGATCGGCTTGCCCAATGTACGACCGCCGCCTAACCACCAGTGGGTAGCAACGTGCCTGCGCCAGATCCGAGCCCAACTTCGTGTCTGCCGCGTCGCCAACCTGGGGTACGACCAGTACGTCATGAGCGACAATCCTCTCAACAGCGCAGAGTACGACACCGTGGATCCCTGCGGACTAGGGCGATGCATAGAGCAGCGCTTCGTAGAAGTGGCCACGGGAGTAAAGCAGCCTGCGGCTCCTGACGGATCTCCGGTCGCCTACTTCCCGGAAGAGGGGTCGCAGGAGCCCTGGGCCTTGGCCGACCGGGAACGGCCCGCCGAGGGGCTCAGCAGCGAGGATTGGAATGTGAAGCACTACATGGCAACGCGATACAGTCCGACCTCGAGTTGGCAGCGATCCATCGACGGCTTGTTTCCCAACTGCAACCAGTTTACGCTCAATGCACTTAATAGCTTTGCTGACAGTGCCTGCACTGGCATGACGCTGCTGAAGCAGCTGCAAGATCACGAGAATGAATTGTCTATATCCGTATAATATAATTTGGCGGAGACGCGTATATGCGTACCCAGGTTTCCTTTAAACCTCTTTCCTCGAATACCAAAGCAATACCCATTTTTTTATTAACTGCGCTCCTTTGTTTTCATTTCACGATCCGTGCTTAGTGTTCCCTTGGCTTATGTGGCAAAGAGCCATTATAATAGTAATACTGGATGAGTCTGTTGGTGACGCTGACCAGCGTCTGGTCTAATGGGGAAACTGGACGGACTCTTTCTTTGTACACAATATTAGATACCATTAATCCAGGAGATATTAGCAATGGAGCAAAGTAACTATTACTAGGCTAACGAGAGAGCATCCCGAGTAAGATAAATATTTGCTTTTACGTAGATTAGAATACTTGGCAGTCTCGCAATGTGTAGATACGTATTGCATCCTGGGAATCATGAATCTCATTCATTAACTTACTGACATTGCGCAATTTGTGCAGCGGAACATTTGTACTGAAGGCAAGGCAACTCGAGGGGAAATATAAGAAAACGGGGTACTGTTTGTCCATCTACTACCTACTAGACATCCTTGAACTTGCGAGGCTTCCCTCTTTCAAGAAATACCTGGATATCCACACATCATCCCCTGTTCCATTCGCGACTCCAACAAAAAACAGAAGCCTTCTGCCAACTCGAACGTCGAAGAAATATGATTAAGGACACGAGTGTTCGACAGCAGAAACTGATGGAAAGCGAACCTAGGGGTATTATACGCTCAATGCAGAAATCTTAATACTCGGCCTCGGTCTCATCCGGCTCGAAGCTATCAGCCGCAACCTCCTCGTAATCCTTCTCCAGAGCTGCCAGATCCTCACGAGCCTCGGAGAACTCGCCTTCCTCCATACCCTCACCCACATACCAGTGCACGAAGGCACGCTTACTGTACATAAGGTCGAACTTGTAGTCCAGACGGGACCAGGCCTCGGCAATAGCAGTCGTGTTGGACAACATCGAAACGGAGCGGTCGACGGATGCGAGGCCGCCGTCAGACGGCGACGCGGTGGGAACAGCCATGGGCTTCTGGTAGTTGATACCCAGTTTGAAACCAGTGGGGCACCATTCAACGAGGTTGAAGGAAGACTTCGCTTTTAGGGCTGCAATAGCAGCGTTGCAGTCACGGGGAACAACATCGCCGCGGTACAGGAGGGCGACAGCCATGTACTTGCCGTTTCGAGGGTCGCAGACAACCATCTGGTTGTTCGGCTCGAAACCTGATAAGTAGGTTAGTCTTCTGAAGGTGATAATAATAATAATAATAACCATAACAACGTACATTGGAAGGTAAGGTCATGGACCTTGAAGCTCTCGTGGGCACTCTTGGCAGCAGAGATGACAGGCGCGTAGCTGATCAAAGGGTAGTGGATACGAGGGTATGGGACCAGATTGGTCTGGAACTCGTTCAGATCAACGTTTAGAGCACCATCGAATCGTAGGGATGAAGTAATGGAGCTGACGACCTGAGCAATAAGGCGGTTCAAGTGCTCAGAGTTGGGACGAGGGATGTCGAGGTTACGTCTGCAAATATCGTAGACAGCTTCATTATCAACCAGGAATGTGCAGTCGGAGTTCTCGATAGTACTATGGGTAGATAGCACAGCATTGTAAGGCTCGACAACGGCGGTAGACACACGGGGGGCCGGGTAAACAGCGAATTCGAGCTTGCACTTCTTGCCGTATTCGGTGGAAAGACGCTCGAGGAGAAGAGCACCAAAACCGGAACCAGTACCACCACCGAATGAATGGAAGATCAAGAAACCTTGAAGTGAGTTGCAATTGTCTACCAGAGTTGTTAGCCAGGTTAAATAGGAAATCCTTGAGCTACCAGAAAGAGTATTTCTCACCTGTCACACGGCGAATTCGGTCAAGGCAGCTATCTATCATCTCCTTGCCGATGGTGTAGTGACCGCGGGCGTAGTTGTTGGCAGCATCCTCCTTTCCGCTAATCAAAAGCTCGGGGTGGAAGAGCTGACGATAGTTGCCGGTACGGATCTCGTCAATAGGCGAGGGGTCCAAGTCGACGAAGATGGAACGGGGTACGTATTTGCCACCGCTGGTCTCGGTAAAGAATGTCTCGTAGGAACCGCCATCCATAACATCCTTTGAAGCATTAGGGTCTGGGCGACCATCAGGTCCGAGGCCATGCTCAAGGAGATACCTGCGTGTGGTTGTGAGCTATAGAAACTACGCCTTGGAGCTTGACAGGCGAAGCGGTGTGGTACTTACAGCTCCCAAGCGCTGTTACCGAGCTGGGTACCAGCCTGGCCCAAGTGAAGGTGGAGGATCTGAGTACAGCAAAGGTGTTAGTCAGTATGCTAAGGGTTATGTAGACGCGTGTCTACAACATTTCGTTTGAGAGTAGTGTAGAGTAATGGGGATATAGAGCAATTAGGATATACAGGTAAAAGTAAACTTCAAGCTTATAACAGGGGACGGTTATTGGGCTTAAAGCGGTGACTAGAAATTGAGACTGAGACGATAGCTCTTAGGTTTCAGCTCTTAGAATTTTTTAGTAACTTACTTCGCCCTTCATGATGAGATCGTAGTATTATAATCGGGTGATTGGAATACCGCGACTGAGACTGTAGTCTGAGCTGGAGGAAGAAAGTAGGTAGGCCAAATGCGCACAGCGCTGGTAGGTAGTAATTGAAAGAGGATGAAAAAGGAGGTGTGGGCTAAAGATGGTTGTAGGTTTTTGTGTGGAGAACGAACGGAACGAATTTAGGTATTCAATTTGCTCTCCACAGCTGCAGCACTGCAACAAGTCAATTGAAGATGAGGGGCAGGTTTCAGGGGTAGCCCAATAAGCTATCGTTATGGGGGGGTTGCAACTGGATCCGTTACTGGTCCGTTGTCTACGCGACAGCACCTAGGCTAAGCTAGATCAGGTACAATTTACCTTAGGAGGTAGCTACAACACGTAGATCTGTACAACTGTGTACCTCCTACCTAACTATCTCTCTTGCTGGCGGTACGTACATAATGTTTGATACATGACAACGGACATGCAGAATGCGAATTTATCAAGCTTCACCGCTTCGGTACGTAGAAACAACCGATGTTCATGACGAGGACCTACTGTGCCTACTGTACCTACTGTACCTACTGTACCTGCTCACAAGTGCAGCTGAGCCATACCCAACGTAAAATAGTAGAGCCAAACATGCATTAGCGTGAATTAGTTTAAATTATTAACCTAGACGATTAGATTTTTCTTCATTGGATAAGGTTAGGCCAAATAATACCTACTTGGGTGTATTTTGCATCACAAGCAACTCGACCACTACAGTTGGGTAATAATATGGATGATTCTACTACCTAGCTAATTCTGGGTATCAAGGCAGTACGTTAATTATAGAACGTCAATAGGTATGTTAATACCTAATTGGTAGATACATACTTCGTAGCACTTTACTTTGTTCCCTTCTTTCTCCATTCGGCCGCTCTCCTAGCTCCTCGACTCTTCGTCTTTGCCTTAACTACTCCTTTCTTCCCTTTACTCTTGCCGAATTTCAGATCTGCAGGTCTACCATCCTTTTCGCTAGCTCTGCGACCTTCAAAGATTATTTGCTCAGGGGATTTGAAGGCCTCGGCGGCTGTTGGTTCCTTTCTATCTTCTTTGCGTGGTCTTCTTTCGCCCTTGACTCCGTGACGTTGTCTTGCTGCTGCTGCTCTTCCTAGGAGCTTCCCTGCCCTACCTGCTTGTGACTGTTGCTCAGGGGTTATCTTTGGCTTATGTTTAGTACTCTTCGAGTTCTTATCTTGGCTATGTAAGCCCTCGAGCCTAGCCTTCTGTGCCCGCTCCATAGCAAGGGCCGTCTTTCGTGGATCTTTAGCGCGAGATACGCGTAACACCCGTGGTAGCATCGGAGGAAACTTCTTGCCATCTAGTAACAGAGCCGATTCAACGTCGTTGGTATCGTAGAATTGCACATATGCAAAGCCTTTGCCCACCCGTGTCTTGGGATCCCTGGGAATACGGACGCTCTCCACTTTACCAGCATGCTGACCAAAAATTCGCCATAATCCTTCTTCAAAATCTGCCGGAATCTTTGTGCGCTTCTTCGTTGTAGTTTCCCCCTCAGCAGTGGTGTTAATGACGGTTTCGTCATCCACGAAACCAAGATTTCCCACAAAAACACATCTTCGATTATCTACCGCGTTGGGGTGCGCTACGCTGTCCACCCGGATATGGCGTTCGAGAACGACAGAACCATTCAGCTCTTTGAGCGCGGTGCGTGCAGCAAGTGGGGTTGAGTAGACTACATAGGCGTTGGTAGATTTTGTCGTGGCGGACATGACGGATTTGGTGATGAACGCAGCACGCTTTGGCATCGCGCCAGTGGAATATGCAGTTGAACGGAAACGTAGAGACTCGACTTTATGCGGCCCACTGGCTGAGTCTAGTGCTGATAGTGGTGATGAAAGATGAGATATCAGAAGCTTTTTTGCTTTAGATGAAGAAATAGCTTCGGATGAAACATTTCCGAGGAATAGCGTTCGGTTTGCCTTATCCAATTCGACATCCGTATGATCATCCGTCTTCGCAAGAAGGGATTCGTGAACTAACGGGGCTTCACCCTCATCTGAGTCTTCCGCTGCTTCGGTTATCGTACCGTTTATCGCCTGACCGGCTTCACCCTTGCGGCGTTTGTCAGACCGCGCCTCCTTTTCCTTTTCCGTTTCCTCGGCCACCTTCCGCATATATTTACCCTCCAGATCGTCATGCTCATCTTTGCGCTTCCTCTTACGATCCTTCTTTTGCGGTGCCGGTGACTCTTCTGCGGAATCGGAATTGTCTGACGCTACTTCATCATCTGAAGATATACCTCCCTCGGCATCGTCACCTAAGTCGCTCAGGACCTCATCATCAACCTCTTCACCATCGGCAGTCAATTCATCCTCCGAACCTGATTCCTCATCATTTGATGTTTGTGAGGGTTTCCTTTCTTTGTGTGAAAGTAAATTTGAGTACCGTGTCTTTGGGGGAGCTTGTACAGGCCCGGCCTATTATCAATCAGCTTGCGAGACTCTACCAGTCGCAGTACACGATGTAAGTAGACGACTTACGCTACTTGCGAATAGAGCATCGAGGGTGGGGTCGATAACTTTCGTCGATGCTGTTAAACTAGGCTTTCTAACTGTTGTTAGTACATGAGGTATTTAATAGTACAAAAACTGGTATAATCAACTTACGATTTGGCCATCTTCACGTTGCTACTTGGGTTATTATGCTTGATTGTATTAATAGTGAAGCTTATTGCATCGCGGCTTCGAGTGCGACCAGTAGAGAAAAAAAAAAGTCTATGGTACCTTAGGTCGTATCTTATCTTATCGAGCCTACCTAGGGACGTTTGAGTGGTGGATCAATTGATTGAATTGGATTGGATTGGAAAATCGATATCGGATAAAAATACGTGGATATGTAATACCTCTTAGGGACATATGTAGTCACGGACCGTTTTAGCACGCGCGTGTTATCGATAAGCGGTTTTGCTCGGGGTTGCCAGATGCCGTACGTAGAGATTGGGGTTATTTGGGGGTAACAGTTAAGGTGTCAGTGCTGCCAGCGGCCGGTGCTTGCGCGCAAAGAGAACCCTCCCCCATCTGATCACCACCTTCACCACCTTTACATTACTACTTTTTTTTCTCGATACCTGGCACTCAAATCTATAGACACTCGTTTCGTAATACATGTCCATTTAATCGCCTGACCACGGCGTCGTGCCAACAGCTCTACCCTTTACTCAATATTTCATCCCCCGTCTGATTATTTACTTTCCTTCCATTACCTCTCTACCTCTCTACCTCTATTCTTCCAAGCTCTAAAAACTCATCCGACAATTCTACCACCACAACTGCGCCCTCTCTTTCTCCCCAAGTCCACCTTCGATTTTCCATACCAGTGAAAGTTATACTTGATTAAATAAGAGAGGATATTAATTATTACCATAAGATGGCAACTGGAGACACGGCGCCCGCGCCGCTTACCATACCACCCCCACCGATCGAACCGCTCTCCGATGACGATGGCTCAAGTCCACTGAGTGATGTCGAAGATAAGGATGGTGATCCAGGGGACCTGCATAGTCTAAATGATGCCACTACCGACAATCGCAACGAAGAAGCAAGCTCGGTAGACGACCTTTCCGACGCAAACGATACCGAAGCTGAAACTGAGCGCCTCTATGACACGCCCCGGAATCCTACCCGTCATAAGGACGTAGTTCTGAAAAGGTCAGCGGATGAGCAAGTCTACGAGCGTACCCCGAGTAAACTGCGACGGCACAATACAAGGAATGGACAGGGTAGAGATGAAGACGATGGGCCATTCTTCGAGGAAATATCAATAGCTTCCAGCCCCCCAGCGCAAGAAACAAAGACCCCGAAAAGGCGCCAATCACCGACCCTAGATATATTAGTCGAAGCTGCCACACAAGAAGTCGAGAACAGAAAGCGAAAACGGGCCTCCATGCCTATTGAAAATTCTGAACCCTCACAGCCACTGCAAAAGCGTACTAATTCAGTACCTACACCTAGTCGTCAAGACATAGATGGCGACACTCCGATGGTCGATGAAGACGACCCATCGATGCATACGAATAGCGGCGAACCCTCGGCCGACGAAGCCATCACCGTCGTAGCTAGCATAGATCGCATTACCAACAACGCTCAGAGCGCCCAGTCAGACCAAGAGGTCGTACCCAAGAAGCAGACGCGCAGTGGTTCAAAGAAACTCAAAGCTACAGAGCAGACTATTGAGGCCGATGAACCGCCGGAAGAAGCCGTTGGTGATCCGGTGGCCGAAGACGACGGTGCTCACGCCGGCGAGGACGAACCGATTGAAGCCGACGTGGACGAGGAAGCAGAAGCAGCTCATAGAAACGAAGAAGAACGTATGGAACTATCGTTTCGATCATGTCTAAGAGCTCGTGCTAACATAAATTCACCAGTCGAAAGAAAGAAGACGGCTTTTGACCAGTTAACTGCGATCGAAAAACGATTCGCAACTTTTAGAGATAGGTCAGCTTTGTTTCTTCCTAACAGTTACGATGCCAATCCATTAATATTACTTTAGGCTATACGAAGAACGACTCGAGCAACTGAACCAAGAAGAAGTAATGCTACGATCTGAGACCATAACGCACCCCGAGTATCTTGCCATGATGCAATGCATAGACGCACGAAGAGACGAAAGAATTCGTGTGGCAGACCGAGAGCTAGAACTTAAAATAGAGTCTCTGGAGAGATGGGCGGTCTCCAGGCGATCACAAATCCATTCTCAGTTCTTCCAGTCTGTTAGAGAGTCGAGGGAAACGATCTTGGCAGAGCTCGGCCAGCAATGGTATGACATCCAGCATGAGCGCCGCAAGCAAGCCAACAACGTACCTGAATTCGGCCTCCGATTCCCTCCTGACCCTGCGCAGCGCACCAGAAATGCACTGGCATATAATAGAGAAGTATCTATTTTGTCAGGTATAGCCAAGTACGAAGGTATGCCTGCGGCGCCGGAGATGAGGGGCGCAACTATGCAAGATCTAGAGGATGATTTTGAAGCGATAAATGTAAGCTGTCACGAACCGATAACTTCCAGCGTATACATAACGTTACTAACTATGTACAATTAGAGGAATCGACAACTATCGCATCGACACCAAGTACATAGGCCTGCTTATGCGGATTACGGTGGGCTGCCGTTCGGCCAAAGTCTTGGCCCTGCAGGAGAGCAGTTTATCGAACAGACCCCATGGGCAAACCCCAATCATCCATCAAATGCCCATCTCCTCCAACGACAGCCCTCAGGCCAACACGAAGCTCATGTGCATAGTGGTGTATTAGGCGTATCATCAGGATCCGGAAGACACCACCAGTCACACCCCTTTATTAATGGTTCAACAACTCAGCCCCCCAATGGGCCTTCTAGGACTCAGAGGAATGTACCGAGACAGCCTTCCACCTCACCCGAAGTTACACGAGCCGCCAACTTGTTAGAGCAGACTAAAGCGCGCAGCATGAGGGCAGCAGAAGCAGCCGCGAGACACGAAAACAATCAACCAGTAGGTAGCTTATGATACGCATTTATCGAGGAATCATTTTCACGGGTGGGCAAAGCATGGCGCACATTCGGGACGAATTAGTCGGGCGGCCGGCAACGCTGTGTATCGTTGGGTTGAATAATCTTGCGAAATAGGAAATAGGAAATAGGGATGTTATACCCTGTGCATATGTTTTGCATTTGGCGTTACGGCTTACAATAGAGGCTTTCAGCTGGTGTATGGAAGTGACCGCATCATGTTTGCGGTATATTGCGTTGCTAGCGAATGGCGTCTTCAAAAGGACTGTAGAGAATGGGGAGGCCTCTATGATATATGTTGTTCGGATTGTTCGGATTGTCTATAGACACACATTCTGGCGTTTAAGGGGCTCGTCGTTCATTTATAGGCTCGACATAGGCCGCGATACCACTTGGTGTATATTTATTTACATTATTTTCTTCTTTTTTGGATGGAATGGAAAACGTAGTCCCGACTTCATAGGCATTATCTCCGATACCGAAGCCTACTAATCGTATATTTCGTGAACTTCTTTTATGCCTTCCTGTCTCCTTGATAGCATTATATCCAACGATAGACCATATGCATTTATTTATTCTCGGGTTGACTTGGGGCACTAGGGACCTTTACATCTTCGAACTCGTCCTGTCCGATGACGTTGATGGTGTATACATCTGTAGATAGCCAGATCAGTAAATCGGTACTGTCTCCCTCAAGGAAATATCTCTTATGAGTAATCACTCACAAACGCCAATCGCAATCGCCGCTGTAGCAGACCCAACAAGGACATTCTTGAAGAGGTAAGGTCGTCGTGCTCGAATGAGGGCGGGGGATTGTCTGAACCGTCTATCATAGTACGAGGAGCTTCCGAATCTACCGGGCTGTTAGATATAAATGCCATAGTCCCATTCTACCAGTCAGCGTACCCAGCAGCCATTTTATGATTTCTTTGCCCAAGCGGGCGTGTTTCCTCTTCTGTGTGATACGGTATTAGAGAAAAGGTTGAGGCTGAGAAGTTAGGCGCATTGCAGGTAGAATGCTTTAAATGCTGTCTTAGCAAATATTGATCTGACGATGCGGCGGCTTAAGTGGTTGAAGTACATACATAAGGTACTATGTACATGCGCGTGTATGCTTCCTGTACATTCTGTAGTGGAAGCCACTACTCTAAAATAGTACTAACCAACACGTACAACCCACTAGGATGTTCAATGTTATTTGTGGGGCGCCAAGCCGCCAGGCATCAACATCTTTCGAATACGGCTAGTATGTATTCCCACATAGAAATTACTATGAGGAGGTACAAAAACAACGACTCTGTCGACAGCCCTTTTTCAATATACACTATTACCTCTCGTCAAGCGATTCCTGAATAGCCTCCCCGTACGTACAGTATTTCAACACGACAACGCCCCCTCCCACACAGCCAGAAGGACCCTGAAAAGCCTTAACGATCTCGAGATTTTTACGGTTAAATGGCCCGATTAAATGGCCCCCGGACAGCCCTGATTTAAATCCTATTGAAAACGTGTGGGCTTGGATGAAAGACTGGCCAGATAGTAATTACGATATAGAGTCGTTGACGTTACGGGAATTAAAACAGGCTATTGAGGCCGCTTAGGAGGCTGTCCCTAAAGACAATAGGGCTTTGAAATGCCATAACTCTGGGGTAGACAATTGAAAAATTAGATTATATCAAATATGAGGCTATTCTCAAGTTATGTATCTTACAGTAGTAATTTGTATGAGAGGTTACATACTAGCCATATCAAGAGATGTTGATGCCTTGATGCCTGAGACCCACTAAATAACATTGAACATCCTAGTGGGTTGTACCTACATAGGTACATAGGTACATAGGTACACGGAAAGTACGAAGTACGTGCATGTACTTGATATCTTGTCGGGGTATTCGCGGATAACAGAGGGAACCTTCCCTACGTGACTTGAAAGACCCAACCTAGAAGCTTAAGGTTCTTTCAAGTGTCCAATCCGAGTTACATACATGAGGAAGGCGCCCTGAAGCAGCTTTCTTCAGTCGCGACCACCTGCAGTTAATAGATGCTCAATTTCTTTCTCCAAGTCTTTTCCTAAATTCTCTTTACACCATTAAGGATATCCCACGTTCCCTATCCTTTTTTATTTTATTTTATTTTCCAATCATTGAAACCGCAACCTATCAAAAATCATATCCAGCTATCAGCATGGTCCTCAATTGTTGATGCTGGCATATCATGAATGATGATGCAGGCTACTTACCCGGCGATCTTCTAATTGACATCACCGGGCAGACACGAACACACACGACGCGCCACAATACAACTTATAACATCGTCACTTTCACGCACTCCCACCCTCCCACATTCTCGATACCCAAACCTAAGTCTTTGTTCTTTTAACTTGGATCATATCAAGTACTAGCGATATCGATTGAACTATTCATGCTCTATCAAGGCACTGCATCTCAACCTTTTCGACTTGTACAAAAGCTTGGGCCTGGTTAGGTCTACCTGAATAAATCGCAATGGCGACGGCTCAGCTTTCCGTTCAAGACCAGATCCGCCAGCTTGAAGGTGCCCGGAAACTTGTTCTAGGTAATGCGAATTATTACACCCAAGTCATTCAAGCTACACTCCCCATCATAGGACCTTCGGCGCAAGTGGAATTCCGACGATGGGGCGCTGAATTCCTTGCCGAAGCATTTGCGACGCCCGCTATCGCACCTGGCCAGAAGGAGACTCTATCTCTAGTAGTACTGGAAACACTTAAGTTGCTTGTGGAAGACGTCAACCAGGATATCATAGTTCTGAGAGGCGTCATTCAGGCGGCGGCTAGTATATACCCGTTGGCCTTACGATGGATGTAGGTTTCTCCCGACTGGTCACTGTAGACTCGTAGACTTCGGCGGGCCATGCCTACCGATATCATGCCTATGCGCCCTCTTTCTAGAACCGCATTCATCAAATGACGTGCTCTAGAGTCCACAGCGCTGACTTTTTGATTGTCCTAGTATTAATAACTCCTACGACACGCATACATGGGAACGAATGACTGCTATCAAGAGCAGGATACTACGAATATGGGACACGGCCCCGTTGACCATCCGAATTTGCTGTATCAAGTTCGCTCAACGGGTCGTACTTGCGCAAACGCAGAGCATAAACCCAGAACCAAGAGTAAGTATATCTCTTGTTCATTTCCTTCTAGCAGTACTAATTTTCTATATAGCGTGGTGATCTCCTTGATATATCGCTTGTCATGATTCCCCCAAGCCACCCCATTCTTGATGCTCCCAAACTCGAAGCCGAAGCATCAGGACTCCTAGACAGAATGCTTGGCATTTTGCAGGACAATAGCTGGTAAGATAGGATTATCAAGTATCACTCTGATACTTAACAACTGACAAATTCTTCTTAGCGACGCACTGATTGTAGATGCGACGTTGAACACATTGTCTATCCTCGTCCGAAACAGACCAGCTACGTCAAATAGGATCGTGAACACCGTTCTTAACTTCAACCCGCTGAAGCTTGCGAACTCGCCTATGACTCCCAAGACAAAAGTTCTTGTAAAATCGATGGAGAAGACAACGCGCATGTTGCTCATGCATCTGTCCAGACGGTAGGAATCAGCCATGGCTAATACTTATCCATATCGCTAATATCACTATAGGAACCCGCAGAACCCGCTAGTCGGCCGTATGCAACAATATATAGAACGTCTTATGCGCTCTCGAGCCGAGATATTTGATGAAGGTGGTCGTAAAAGAGCATTGGCAGAGCAGGCCAACGGGGTAGAGGCCAAGCGTCAACGAACGGGAACTGCACCACCCCATCCGCAACTGGAAATCACCCCACTAAAGCCGGGCCCTCATACCCTCGCAGAAGTCTTCACCTTCACTAATAACGATGGTCTAAAGCACTTCGACGTCAGTAACAATGTTCCGGCACCCATTGCCGCCAGAATCAGTGTTACTACCATCGCCCGTATAGATCCCCAGCTCCTAGATCGTGCTATTCAGGTATGTCAAAGCAATGCGCACCCTAGTGACTATGGCTTACCAAGATACAGGGTGTACGTGATCGCTTAACAACGCTATACGAAGCCCAACCACAGCCAGTCAACCCCGAGACAGCACCACTTGATGTTGAGGAAGACGAGGACGACTATGAGCCTGATTTCTATACGGCAGAAGACACGGAACAGATTCTAAACAAACTTGATTCTTCGCCTGCGGATGAGCGTCATGAGCTAGAGAAGCCGACATTGGGTGGTCTTGCGTTACCTTCTTTCCGATTACCCCCGCCGCCAACATTAAATCCTGAGCAAGCTACCAAAGTGGGGCAAGGTTCAGTCACAAGAGTGTTTGGTACGATGAGAACCCTCGAGGATCCTGCCATCAAGAAGGCCAAGGCTGGCATCAACAGGCTTGCAGCCAGCTCATACGACCGAGACTCTTGGGTCACAGTAATAACCCGCTTGGCAACCAGGGCCAATGCGGGACTTGATATCCCGGAGGAAGACGAAGACACCAAAGGAGTTCTCTCAACCACCCGCCTAAGCGATGCTATTCGGGAGCAGCTCTTCAATTATGTTCTCGAAGACTTCCGAAAGCGTATCGAGGTGGCCGTCTCCTGGTTAAGCGAGGAGTGGTACAATGATAATGTTCAACAGCGGTCCGTGTCATCTTCGCCTGTTCCTAGCGATATCCCCATTCACTATGAGAAATGGACACTACGCCTTCTGGACGGATTCATTCCTTATCTCCATTCCCAGGACAAGGTGCTCACACGATTCCTAAGCGAGCTGCCCGAACTCAACCTAGCCATCTTTTCACGAGTTAAGACGTTATGTCGAGATCCAAGCTTGGTAAACCTTACTCTTACGACCCTATACTACCTAGTGATGATGCGCCCGCCCGTAAGAGATCTGGCACTAGATGCTATTCAGGACATCTGGACAGACTATGAAGACGCAAGACCTATAGCTGCCAAATACTTGCAAAGATGGCGGCCCAGCTTCGTAGAAGCAGCACAGCAAACCTTGCCCGGGAGTGAAGGGGTTGTTGGTACCAGCGTCGCCGCAGTTGTTACGTGATACCCACTTAATTACGATTGCGTTGAGCCTTTGGGGGTTAATTATAAAGGAGGCCGTCTCTTAGCTTATACCTAGTAGATGTGGTGATTCTCAGAGGCATAAAGGCCTAAATGATATACCACGATATTGGCGGATGGAAGAACAGGTAGGGTGTCTGGAAAACGTAAAGCATTACTAGGGATTAAACAGAGCAGCGGCGGCCCTGCTAAGGCAGATTTACAGAGATAAAGGGGTCGTTACGGAACTCGATTCCCAGAGGTGAATCAATGATAAAATACAGGAATACATCAGACATATGTATAATTGATTTGCTTGGTGACTGTTAGTGTAGATGTCTTTTAGTATTGTTCAAATCACGAGTCCAACGAGTTCGGCGTAAGCACATATATCATCACTTACTCCTTAAAATCTCAATACAGTGTTATTAAATGTAAAGGCTGCACTTGTTACTGTACAGCTGAGCCACAGCTGACGCACGACCTTTTGATAAGACCTCCTAACCAGGTCCACTGATGATTTAGGATGACGGTTAGTTGCATGTGCCTGCTTAACTTACAGGCATGAAACCCGGCAACGAATAATTCCAAGTTGTACCTCATACAGAGTTACCTCATACTTCATCTCATACAAACATTTAATAGGTACCTATAGCTTTAATTATAGCTAGCGAAACAATCATTCTCTTGTTCGAACTCACCCATCAATGGAATAGCCTAGAAATAACATACGAATATCTACACAACGAGTAACATCTTTACTCCGTAGTGCCTCACAATGGCACCTCGCATCGAGGCTCAGGAGATCGAAACGTATTGGAACATATTCACAACCAGGACCAATGGCGGCAAATACCTGACGGGCGAGCAAGCGGCGCCACTACTGAAGAACAGTGGGTTGCGGGACGACCAGCTTGAGCGCGTATGGGATGTGGCCGATGTAGACAACGATGGTAATCTCGACTTTGAGGAGTTCTGTGTGGCTATGCGCATCATCTTTGACATAGTGAATGGTGTAAGTTATTTACAGTTATATACCTCCCCAAGCACGCTGGACGGTACCGAAGCGAGCGGCTAACATGGGCTGGAAATCAACAGGAATACGCCGATGTGCCAGCGACGCTGCCAGACTGGCTCGTCCCCGAATCTAAAGCCCACCTCGTCCAGGCCAACCGCGCTCTCACAGGCAAGCAAGTGCAGTTCGAACAAGTTGACGACGATTCGGATACCCCGGGACTCAAGGATGGCTTCGACTGGTACATGAACCCCCAGGATAAAGCCAAGTATGAATCAATATACCAGGAGAACCGGGACATGCGAGGAGAAGTGGCCTGTAAGTCCTATTTTATCTTGACCCCTTTTCTATTATTCTACTCTACTCTAACAAGAGGTAAGGAGAGGTGAAGCATCGAAAACTAATAAGGATGAGAAACAACAGTTAGCTCCCTCGAGGACTTATACGAATCCCTCGACGTGCCCGACACCGACATCCGATCAGCGTGGAACCTAATCAACCCGTCGGCCTCATCCACCGTCAACAAGGATGCCTGCCTCGCCTTCCTTCATATCCTCAACAACCGACACGAGGGCTACCGGATCCCGCGCACCGTGCCCGCATCCCTGCGCTCTTCCTTCGAGCGCAACCAAATCGACTACCAGGTCGACAGCGCCCGCAACAACCCCGCTGCCTCTCGCTGGGCCGCTCGCGCCGACGAAAACACGTCCACTGGCCGCAAGGCCAAGTTTGGCGATCAATACCTGACGCGCCTCGGCCGCGGCGGCTTCAAGGCCTCCGGCACGGACTTCAGCTCCGCTCAGAGCGACGAGCAGTGGGAGGAAGTACGTCTGAAGAAGCAACTGCAGGAGATCGAGGACCGCATGGCCAAGGTAGAAGCCGATGCGAACGCTCGCCGGGGCGGCGGAAAGCGGGACACCAAGCCTGCTCTCGTCAAGCGCGAGCTCGAACAACTGCTCGACTACAAGCGTCGCGAACTAAGAGACATAGAAGAAGGCAAGGGGAAGGCCAAGACGGGGAGCAATCTTCGCGTTGTCGAGGATGACTTGCAGACGGTGCGGGCGCAGATCGAGGGCTTGGAAGCGCATCTCTCGAGCCGGATGCAGGTTTTGGACCAGTTGAGGAGGGAGATTGAGGATGAGAAGGCGGGGAGGTAGGGAGATACATACATTAGGTACCTACACCTATATGGAGCAATACGTTTCATAAGGAGAGGACAAGAAGATAAAAGATGAAGAGATTAAGTAAGAAGGATTTGCTCTCGTCTGAGACGAGAAAGCGCTTGAGGGGTAGGTAGTAGATCCCCCATGTGCGCAAGGCGGATAGCGAGCTACAACAATACCTAGTCTGTAATTCAAATATGTACTGTACAAGTTCCAGGTTCCGGTTGTATTGCGAGTTGGTGAACTCGAGTTAGGTTGGCTATAATAAATAACACAATTACAATAATCATAACTACCTAGTTAATCGCAAATCAACGTTTGGGGTCATTAGTAGCTACCTATGGATAGAGACAATTCTTGGCAATACGTATATCACGGAAAAGGAAGAACCAAAGGATTAGGAATGTTCGTCTATTATTTCTTTTATAAAACTACTGTCGAGAACCGATTCATTATTATATAAAAAAAGGGGGGGTAGGGGTATCTTAGGGTACATATTACGGGTTCTCTCCTCGGCCCCTATTCATCACAAGAGAACTAACTACCTATCCGGCATATCCTTAAAGCAGTATCGACGTCCTCGGATACTATTATTTCACAATCCCTCCGAACCAGATTATCTCTCAAGGTAGGCCAGCCAGGTTCAAGGAACAAATAAGGGTGTGTTTCATAGTCTAGAAGGCACTACCGTCGACATAACCGGGTAGCGACTGGATACCGAGGGTTTTGCCCTTGATTATGTAGACCATGAGGGAGAAGACTTTGACAGAACCCAAGCGGCCAGCTCCACGGCTCCGGCCAGTGGCTACCATGAGAACGTCCATCGGCAGCGTCTTGACGGGGGTAGGCGCCTTGCCCTTGAGGACGAGGTCGATGTTCTTGGCGACACCAGCAGCCTTTAGGTAATAGTCAGTAAAAGTTATCTGTTCATATATCCATCCTTTTCATCACTGATACTAAGTCAGAGATAGAGTAGGAGTAAAAAAAAAACTTACCTGTTTATCCGAAAGCACGAAGCTACCGCGGGGCTTCCACACGATATCACCTGCTGCCCAGACGTCTTTAGCACCCTTGACGCGATAAAACTCGTCAATGTCGACGAATTTCTTGTCGGTCAACAGGTCCGCGGGGAGGTACTCGGTGTTAGGCCGCATGCCCATGGTAGGCAGATACAAGTCCGTCAGGATCTTCTCGCCGCTCTGCAGCACAACTTCGGTCTTGCCCTCGGGCGTAGAGTGAGCGGCATCAACGCGGGCCGACTTGCGCACGTGTACGCCTAGCTTCTTCAGCTCGCTAGATACGTTGGACGCTAGGCTGTCGCCGCCTAGGATTTCCTCGTCGCCGGAAAGCAAGATGACTTCCTTCTTCTTGCCGTATTCAAAGGCAATCTCGGCTGCAACCTCGACTCCCGTGCTGCCTGCGCCTGCAACCACGATGTGTTTCGCGTTCTTCACCTTCTCTTGAATTTGTGTCACAAGCCCGGCCACCTGCTCGTGGGTGCCATTGCTCTTCCAGGGCACGGTGCCGTCAACAGCGCGCGTGCCTGTTGCTAGAACTAGGTGGTCGTAGTTAAGCACTCGCTCGCCGCCATCCCGCGTCGACACCTTGACCGTCTTGTCAGCAATGTCGACGCCCTCAGCGCTGCCGACGATGAACTCGAAAGAGTCTGCCGGGTACTTGGCGAAACCCTTCTCGATAGGTTGGCTGTATTGCTCCTCCTTCAAGGTGCCGGGAACAATGGCACGCACGGATGCCATGTTCCAGTAGAAATGGCTGTTCTGCGACGACGAGTTAGTAATAGCTCCATTATTCCTATGCAATTCGAACTCTAGGTTGAAACCAGGTGGATGGATTTGCTGGAATTCAATGCGTTGTATATCCTGTGCATAGGTATGCATGTACTATCCAATCACGATCTTCTTATAAGAAACCCAGCGTTGTATTGTTGCTTCCCAGCTTCGCTTTACTCCGGGGCCTGGTTATAGAATGTAGAAACCAACAACAGCATCAACAAGTCCGCTTACCTTGGAAACAAGGATAACTTTTAAATCCTTGACATGAGGTTTTGTATATTTCAGGAGCCTATGGGCAACACCCACGCCGGCGTAGGCGCCACCCAATACCACAATTGTCTTAGTCATGTTTGTTGGCGAAGTCCGGTTAGTTACTGGTAGGAAGGGGGTATGTTTTGATGATTTGATGGTTCGAAAGGTTTGTGAACAGGACGAAGAACTTTGGTATTTTGTGTAAGGTATGGGAATAACTAAATAGTTTTAAGAAGGAAAAACAAAATCTGCCAAAGCAACGGCAAAAGGAAACAGCTCTCTCCCTTTAGGTAACTTTCGGACGTGTCGAGATCCGGCAGGCGGCTGTGACTTATATACCTTGAGCTGTCGGTTTCACAGCAGGGAGGAACGGACCCTTACTTATCATTAGATAGACTTTCACGCCTCAAACAACGGAGACCCCACTCAAGCCGAAGGGCCTAAAAAAATACCTACCATCTAGGTACCTACATAATGTTTGGTGGCTGCATGAAGAAGCCACTATTGGTCCAAATCGGTCATAGGAACTAGCTCGGAAACTTGAGATGAATAATATTCGTCTCATTGCTGACACAATGCAGTTTTAAAGGGGCATTAAGGTTCAACGGCTATCCCAAGGCTTCGGAAAGTTTAGATACCTACCTCCTTAAGTTAGGTACCTACATAGGCATTCTATTGTCTATCCGCTGTCCGGCGGCCGAACGGTCATTCCCCAAACTAGGCTTCAAAGAGTTAAGTAGAATACCACGACTAAGGTGCAATGCCCCCTTGATTAGTCTAATGATGAATAATCTGACCAATAGAATGACTAATGCCATAATTTCTATTCTACTTAGAGAAATCGAGACTCGAGATTTCTCTTAACTATCTTTTTTTCCGCATTGTCGACGTACAGTAATACTAGTGTCCTACTGATCCGACACCCGGACCAGTATTATTGAAGTTATCATTACACACAGCCACACAGCCATTAATACTACTTCATCCAGGAAAGTGGAGGACTTTCTCGGTCCCGAAAGACTATTACCTAGGACGAGGCTCTAAAAGTTTATGGGGGACAGACATCGGGCGCGATACTATTGGAGTCGAGACAGGCAGGGGGGTTTCGTTCTCGTTGGCTTATTGGATAGCCTTATGAAATGCGAAGAAATGCTCCCCCATCTAGGAACTTTATCGAAATGGGGTTGCGCGTTGCAAGGTCCTTTTGCATTAATGCGCTTGCGCGGGTTCTCATATTGAATGGTGTAACGATTTGTTTTCCATAGGAATGTGACAATATATTGGCCATAATCTAACTTGAATTATTCAAGTGAGCTGAGCTGTACAATACACCGACAGGGCCAGCTAGAAAGAATGCATCTACTTACACGATGGCGTATTTCGTATTTATTAACTGACTTGGCACCAGGTAACGACAGAGCATATGTATATCACTTTCCATGTCAACCCTAGGCCAGGCCATGTATGTAAAGCAGTATGATAGATATTAATAAAACGAATTTGCTTTCCTCATATAAGCCTAGCAGATCTTCATGTGATGCCGACAATAACAACACCGAGGGATTGGAACGGGTAGAGATCTATTGTATGTGAATCTAAGTGGTTCGGAGACGGTACATATTTACACCGATGTACGAAGAGCCCTGGTTCCAGACCTTGATCTCGAGCATCTCCATATCTTCTGATAGATTGCGGGTCCCTGAAAGCAATGCCACCAATTAGAGGCAAGTATTACTTGCATCACCCCGCGCAGCAAACGCATGACGAAAGTCGTCATGGCTGAAGCATTGAAGCAATCAACCCCGCCAAAAACCTACCTTTTGACCCAACAAGAGTTCGACGACCTACTTACACCTAAGCTTCTAACATCATAAAAAACATAATCAGGTACAGTAGCTCTCTTCATATATCTTTAGCCAATCCTATCCTATACTATCTCTAGCTATAACTATAAGGAGACAATTAATAGAGTTACAGCTAACACGAGATCGAATATTCTAGCCCTCAAACGCCCTAAAACTCTTACACTCGTCAAAATGGTCGACATCAGCCCTGCTTTCGTCAAGGCCCAGGAAGACTCCAGGAAGCTTACCTCCAAGCCTGACAACAATGAACTCCTCGAGCTCTACGGTACTTAATCCTCTTTCTTGAAAACTATATATATTACGTCTATAGAGCTATAGCTCGGAGGCAGACAGAATATATATAAACGACAGACAAGCTAACAAATACCTTTTTCTTCCACGTGTAGCTCTCTACAAGGTCGGCAACGGCGAAGACTTCAGCAAGGCCGAGAAGCCAGGCGTATTCGACCTGAAGGTACGCCAACTTTTCTCGTCTCTCCTCCCCATCAGCCAATCCCAACCACGCGGGGTTCACGTAGGACAGAGTAAACAAACGTAAAAGCTAAGCTAACCCGACCCTGTAGAACAAATACAAGTACCAGGCGTGGCAGAAGGTCGTCGACGAGGGCGTCAGCCCCGCAGACGCCCAGGACCGCTACGTCAAGCTGGTCGAGACCCTGAAGGAGAAGTACGGCTACGACGCGGACAAGGAGCCCGAGGCCGTCAAGAGCTCTTAGATTTTGTACCTAATGTATAGAGCTCTGGTTCCGTCGTTGCAGCATCTATCGCGTTCTCTTCGTCTTAAGCCAGTCGGTTTAGCCCCGTGTTCATAGCGATGTTAGGTACGCTCCAGTCTCGAAGGGGTTCCTTGGATTCTCCCGCGGTTAGATTGTATGGGTAGCGATAAGCTACCGACGTTATAGCCAAATAGATTAATCTATATCATTACGTGGACGTGCGAACGCGACTTCATGATAATTGAGAGAAATGATTGATGACGAGTAGATTTGTCGTATACTCGAGTTGCCGGTTTAGTATAACCAGAAGTTATTCACCAAGTCATACATCCTCAAATCGACTTTAATACGATAGTTGTATTACATGTCGTCTTATATTAATGATTTTTACGTTTAGTCCCTCCAAAAGCGACCCATCCAATCAGGTTCCGTATAGCTTGCCGTAGCTACCCATGGAACTTCATCGTCTCCGTATCGTTGTAGAGGCAGGCTATACGGTATTCTTAGGCCAACCAGGGGCTCGTTCCCGTCGAGATCTTCTTTTGTAGGTGTATCCGTCTTAAAGGTACCAACCATCCTAGCCCCGTCCGCGAATAATTCAGGCCACACCAGGACACCCATCTCCCACGAGGCAATTCGTATCTGTCCGGTCTTTGCGGCTTCACCCCAGGCCTGCTTCGATATGTTGGCAGATGTGAGCAAGGCCCAATCGATAGTCTTGTTCTCGTTGTACCGTATGTAAGTCTTTATATGTGGCGCGGCACGTTTGCGTCCCCCGTCTCGAATCTCGCCCTCTTCGACTAAGATGTGGTTAGCTTAACTGTTATTATGCACCTTAGAAACGAGTGAGTTAAGGACGTACTTATCCCCTTCTCGCAATCATTAGCCCAGTGGTAAAGTATAGGTTTCATGTATTGAAGTTGCTTCGTCTGAGTTGCTGATTGTATCTTCATATGTATAGAAGCGCCAGAAGCGTAGCCGTCTAAGGAGCGTCTTATCTCATCAGGGCAAGGAAATATTATCTTGAATTCAGGCTTCGAAGAACTTGTCTTCGTAGATGATAATGGGCCAAATAAGGTATGTTTTAGCCAGGTGTCTGTTGCACCTAGGGTTGCAATAGATGATATTTGTACCACGATATCTGATTTCCCCGACTGAATAGGGACAGGGCTGAGGGCGTGTTTAACACCTGCCCATCCCCAGTGTGTCTTCCTGGGATCATCCTCATTTATATCATGCCTTCCGGGTACGCTGGCGACTAGCGCTCCCCTTACGGCACCGAAGTCATATTTCTCCAGTTCATCAACCAAAGACTTGCATGTCTGTCTTTTAGTATTGTAGGCCCGTAAGTAATTCAGTAAGTCGGTTTTAAATCTCGGCCCGTAGCCAATACGCATATCTGTCTCGGAAGACTTATACGATTCTGTTAGGCGAGGGAGCCGTGGAGTTTGCCAAACGCCATTGGTCAAATTCGTCCAGTCCTGTGAAATCATGTTGGCCGTATGTATAATTACCTGTGCTGTGTCGTCATGTCTAAATAACACAAGCATTTTCGAATGGTGAGTGCCGAACATCTCTGGCATGTATGCTGTATGAAGAGTGACATTTTTGTATTGGGAAGCCTGTTTCTATATTGGCTGTTAGCATCAATGCCTCACTTGATAATAGTGTAAAGTAGGTAACTTGAGCAATATTTTAGATTATCTAAACGGGATTTGCATATGACAGGTACAACACATCACGATACCTCTACGATGCTTGGGTCCAAGTTGAAAATCAACAAAGGGTATTCGTAAGTAAATACAGAGTGTCTGCATGATACCATTATATAGTACCGACTCCTCTTATCGTATTACGACTCGCAGTATTATGAATTGTATATGGCTAGCTCATTCGTCCACATGGTCTCACATGGTACTGTGTAAACCCGGGCCTTGAACGTAGTATACGAAGCATTGGAGAAGATGAGAGCAAACTTACCTCAAGCGACAACCTATTCATATCATCTCTCTTCCAGAACCCGTGCACAATATGAACTTTAACGAGCGACCTTGTATCCTCATCAAAATGGCTCATAAGAAAGTCCACATCGTGCAAGTAGTTGAACTCCCAGCATTCGGCTATCAGTGGATCACCAAGAAGATCATGGAGAGAGACAGCCCCGATATTTGACTCTGCTGGAAGGTCCCTAATAGTGGTAAGCTGAAATGGGGACTTCACGAGTTTACGCTCGCAAGTTCTCCTTTTCCTCGGAGGACTAATTGGGTGTGAGAGTGATGTTGGTATCTCATTGGACCTTTTCATAGTGTCATCCTTTTCTGTATGACTTAAACGGCGGCGCTTTGCTGAAGGCTCTGTCATGTTTAAAACGGGTGTGCATGGGGCTGATATATGCACGTTAGCTGTGGCGGAGGAGGTTATACCTACGACTGTGCCAAGGCTAGAGACTTGAACCCGACATGTACGAAATACGCTTGGAGATGGTATAAATAGTGTTCGAAACATATGTAGAACGACGGTGCTGATATCAATCAAGTTTCAAGCGTATGTAAAATAATTCCACAGGGCTGACGCGGACGGCTGATTTGTGTTTAATGCTTCATGGCCAATGTCGCGATGGCGTATCTTGGCAACCGACTGATCGCCGTAAATGTCCACCACTTTGAGTTATGTGCATAGCACGCTGCACAACAGATTACTAAATACGAGAGTATGTATGTATTCGTATGCCCTACTTTATTTTAGTATCTGTTAAGCCAAATGAGATTTAGACGGTGAAGTGACAATGTCAATTCTGTTGTGTTATGCCTTAAATTTACTTAAGGATTTATGTCAAGAGATTTTAATATGTGTTGTAAATAAAGCTTAGGTAGAACTTATGCCTTAAATTTACTTAAAGATTTATATCAAGAAATTTTAATATGTGTTATAAGTAAAGCTTAAGTAAAGTTTAACTTAACTTCGTTAACTTTATATATTAACCTTACGTTAATTAATTAAAGTTAAACGTTAATTGGTTAAAGTTAAACGTTAATAGATTAAAGTTAAGCGTTAATTGGTTAAAGTTAAACATTAATGGGTTAAAATTAAACGTTAATTGGTTAAAGTTAAACGTTTAATTGGTTAAAGTTAAACGTTAATAAAAAAGTTACTTTATATATACAAATGCTTATTTCTTTAATATCTTAGCAAATTTAAGGCCGAATCACGTGCACCTTAAACCGTAATTTTTGTTATTTTTTAGCTTAAATTTTAATGTAAATTATATAAAATTTAAAATAATATTCGTAAAGTTATTAAAATAAACGTTAAAAAAAAAAATTAAATATATATTATAAATATTACACAATTAATATTACTTTTATTTTATATATTATAATATTATATTAAAAATTTTATAAATATAATATTTAAATTTATTATTAAAATTTTTTTATAATATAAATTTAAATTATAATTTATTAAAAAATTTATTTATAATTTATAAATATTAATATATAAATTTTATATTTTAAAATATTTATAATAAATAAATATAATTTATATTTTAATAAAATATAATTTAATATATATTAAAATAAATTTAT